AAAAAAAAAAAAATGAAATGGTTATTTAAAAAAAAAAATCAATTGGCTATAGATGTATGGGTGCTACTCAAAGGATTTTGTGCCAGAATGTCAAGCAATGAACTGCTTCTCTCATAGATAAAGTCTCACTAGGAAAAGAAAAAAGTCAGCTTAGTGACTTGATTAATTTATGTTCTGAAGCGAGCTCCTTATCTCCTTATGGACTGGTAACAGTTTACTCACTAGCAAATGTTTGTGGATCACCTTTTGAGTAGCACTGCTCTAGACCTTTGCTACTTTAAGTGCCACTGACCAGGAGCATCCCAGGCCCTATCCCAGAGCTACTGGATTAGAATCTGTTTTTAAACAAAATCTCCAGGTGATTCATATTTGTATTAAAGTTTGAGCAGCACTGCTCTAAAATCAGACTCTAAATGACTTTAAAGATCTATTCAGTTAGGCACAAGATTAATTAATGAGTAAGACTTGGGAAAGGGAGCATACAGTAGTCCCCTGTTATCCATGGTGGATATGTTCCAAGACCCCCAGTGGATGCCTGAAACTGCAGATAGCACTGAACCCTGTATATACTATGATTTTTCCTGTAGATACATACCTATGATAAAGTTTAATTTATAAATTAAGCACAGAAGAGATTAACAACAATAACTAATAATAAAATAGAACAATTATAACAATGTACTGTAATAAAAGTTACCATAGATCTTAGCAGCCTCGGCATATGATTTTTTTTCTTTCCTTATTAAGTCAAGAACTTACACCATTTCACTTAAAGAAAGCCTTTTCCGGCTTCTCTTTGGCTTATCCAAATTGCCAGCATCGTGACTTGTGTGCTTTAGGGCCATCATTAAGTAAAATAAGGGTTACTTGAACACAAGCGCTGTGATACTGCAACAGTTGATCTGATAACCGAGAAGGCTAAGTGACTAACAGGCGAGTAGCGTATACAGGCGAGTAGGTATACAGCGAGGGATGATTCGCATCATGGGCGGGATGGAGCAGGATGGTGTGAGATTTCTTCACGCTGCTCAGAATGGTACACAATTTAAAACTTATATGAATTGTTTATTTCTGGAATTTTCCATTTAATATTTTCAGACTGCAGTTGACCATGGGTAACTGAAACCAAGGAAAGCAAAACCACGGATAAGGAGGACTACTATAAATGTGAGTGTAGGCAGGAGAATATCTGAGACTTCTTATGTAGCAAAAACCCACATGGCCCCTAGATACCCTGGCCTTCAATAGAACCCCAGCGCCAGCCCAGATACTAAAGTGTTTCTTATCACTACTGCACTGGACTTGATAGTCTTTGCCTGTGAATAACTCCGTGAAGAGACTTATAAAGGAAATTTAGAGTTATAGAGAAAAAAGGAGGAAAGACTAGTAAGGCAGAACACTTTTACAAAGCCACTTTGGGAGAAAGAAACTAATTCCAGGCCTTAGAACTGCTTTCCTTCATCTTTAAGTGAAGAAGAAGCTGAAATTTGGTTAAAAGGGTCTGTGGGAACAGTGTGATTCTAGAAGCAGGCAGCAATAGTGCTAAGTCATAAAATCAGAAAGCGTTGAATATTTGAATGTTGGGTCAAAACAGGTAAGTATACCTCTTTGGAAACTTACTCTATGCAAACGTAAGCACTGTCAGCATCAGGAATTTTCAGGCATCATGCTGACATTCCAAGGAACGGTGGCCTGAGCAAATGATATATAGGGAAATTAGTTATACAATACTCACTTTTACTATTTTGAGGTGAGTGATGTTATTGATATGCTATTTAGAATGCTGTCTTGTTTTCTTGAACATAAATATAAGGATTTTTATAGATACTTAGGAATTGAGTCCTCCATTTTCTTATAAGGCCTTAAGATCCTTACGTAGGCATTCTGCTGCAGGAATTTTGAAGCTAGGGATAGAATACTGGTTTTGTGCTACAAGCATCATTAAATAGGACTCCAGATAAACTTGAAATTTGTGATAATCTATAGGATCTAGGTTGAAGGCCTGCTTTTCAGATGGTAGCTTTTGTGTGTGTTTGTGAAAAAAGTTTTTCAGCACTTCAAGCAGTTAGGTATGAAAGTTAATAAGCTAACTACAAACCACTTTAAGTATCTATTTAATAAAGCAGGTCTTCTAATATATTTTTCAACACTTTATTAATCTTGTTTAATGTTAATTTAAAATAAAGTTTAAAATGACAATATGATCTCTTTAGACTTAACACTGCCTAAATCATGTAATATAAACTGATCTGATCTATAGTTTAACTGAACATTCCCCACTCCCCTGAAAATCAGGTTTTTACTTATACTAATCATATAAACTTTTATCCAAATACTCCAAATAATAGTTGTAGCTGAGGACATCAGTGCATTTTCCCCGCATCCTGCCTTCTCCTGAGTAAACAGGTGGTAACTGAGGTGCGCTGCCCCCACCCCCGCCAAGTGGGTTCTATCCCATACCTCTACATTCATTCTGTTCTGTAAGATTGGGACTGGTCTTTTAACTAAAGCCAGGGAAAGCGTGGACATCCTCTGGCCTATTGCTGCTGAGAACTGCTGCCAGTGTACCCTAAATGCAAGTCAGTCTCAATTTGCAGTAAGATTTTCTTTTGACCTTTTCTACGTTTCACAGCCATTCAAACAGATCTTCTCCATTAGTTATAAACCAGTGCTGCATTATCAGGTCATGAAAAGTAAATGCCATAGTCCTCCTCCAAAGAGGTGGCCTTTTCTGCTTGGACGTATCTCAGGGTCTCTGCAGAAGAAAAAATGAGCAGGAATTTGGGCTTGAACTGATCAGCAAACATCTTGGCAAGCTGTTCTAGGATGCCATCTGCAGGTGTTAACTATCCAGTTTGGGTCCTCTGATTGCTCTGACTTCCTCTTGGCTCTAGCAAATGCTTTTTCTTTTCCTTCCAAATTCTTTATTGTTCCTCTTGGGACGAGACAAACTCAGAGGCCCCATTGCTGATTCTTTTTCAAACAGTTAAATGTAGAAACATTAGTCTTTCGTTCCTTCTTGTGGACATTTGGAGGGCATGATCTACTTCTCCATTTTGGTTTCAAAGAACTTCTCTCCAGTTCTTCCTACTTCCAGGACTGTGTAAATGGAAACAAGTTCTAGAAGAGTTGATAAGGCTGAAAAGCAGAGGGAAGGATAGTCCTCTAAAACATGAGCCCTGGATCACTTTCTCTTTGGAGAAACTAGAACTCTAGAGACTGCTTTTCTCCCTCGTCATCTCCCTTGTCTATTATCCAAAGTAGTTGCTCTTAAGCCTTTTATTTCTCTCATCAAGTTTCTTTCTCATTCCCTAACACTTTGAAGATGATCTTGCTCTCTACCAAATACATAATAATAGATCTGAACTCACTCAAATTCCTTTTTCTAGCCTTAAACCAATATGCATATCCATCCTTGTTTCCTTCCTGCTTGCCAGGATAGAAATGTCTAAGGCTAGTCCCTGTAACCGCGCTCTTAATCCTCACCCCCTCTGCCTACAGGACTTTGTTCCATCAGTGATCTTGATCCTCTCCTGTATCTTAAAGCCTTCTTCTCCTGGCTCCTTCCACTCTCCAGTGCCCAATTCTCTCCCATTCTAAAAGTTCTTTCCCTCAATGCTGCTCCTCTCTTAAGCACAAAATGTTCTGAAAGAGTAATCTGTAGTCGCCAGCTCTACTTTTCAACTCTCATTCTTTGCAAGTCCAGTGCCATTCTCACCTCCATTCCATCCCTTCTTTGAAACTGTTCTTGCATAGATCTCCAGCGACTTCCCAATTGCCAGCTCCAGTGGTCACATTTCTACCTTTGGTCTACCTTTCTAAGGCAATAGTCATTCTTAATCCTTCACTCAGAGGAAAGTACCAATGAGTTTTAACTTTGCTCAGGGTTCAGGTGTGTTTGTTCATTTGATACTGTGAGGCTTCCTCTTGTTTTGGTATGTGATTTCGGATTAAAAGAGACTGTATTTATCACTTTAAACAACTGAATCTCCAGTTAGTGTGGTGAAAGTTACTATTCTCATGGTCCAAAGTGCCAATTTTGTATGATGTCTCTTAGAGAACCACATATTTTCCACCCCTGTCTCCCACTTTTTATTAAAAGTAAAACAATTTATTAGAACTAGTTTAAAAAAAATCTTACTTTGTATTTTAAAAAATCCTAATACCCAGCTTGCTCACTGTTTGCTCACTAATGACCTTGAATTTTGAACATCATCAATACGAAGATTTGTCTCTATGAATGTTGAAATAACTATACCAAGGGGTGAGAAAACTTCCAGTGCCTAAATGGGTCTTGACACATAAGAGGTGCTCAGTAAATATTTGTTGGAAAATTAATTCCATAAGCAGCCCTCAGAAATCATATGCAGTTCCCATCAGAGAGCTGGAAACATGACCCATCTTGTATCCCAGTTGGTTGGCTTGAAAGGCTTAATTGTGAGCAAAATGCTTAGGCCTAGATGCCATTGTAGTCTTTTCAACACTTTGTAAAGTGGTTATTCTTTTCATATATTTCCTGGAGGGAGTAAAAGAGTATGAACAGTTTAAAAGTCAAGTTGAATTCACTTGTGTTCCTACAACCAGGAAAAAGCGTCAGTTTCACTTTTCTGAATTAAAAATTCACATATTTAAATAGTTCATACTGTCTGTCTCCTCTTTGCCCCTCTGCAGTGTTTCTGGAGATGAGAGTCTTCGCTTCTGGTTTACATGGAGCACTGATGCAGTAAGCAAGTAGGCACCCTGTGTGCATTTGGTTCTGGAATTTAGTTCAGGAGAGTGCTGTGGTTCAGGGGGGTTGTAAAACTGCTATTGAAGATCTGGCTGTGAATCTCAGAGACCATTGGAAACCTGCTCTTGACCCTGCTCCTTCGTCTTACCTCTCATCACTGTTAGTGTCATCTCTGTGTATTTAAATTATCTGTGCTAATGGAACTGACTGGCTCATTCTGTCTCTATTTGTGTCTGTAACTGATAATATATTTCTTAACTCTCCTTTACAGAGGGACCTGTCCGGACACAAGAACATTGTGGGTTACATTGACTCCAGTATCAATAATGTGAGTAGCGGTGATGTATGGGAAGTTCTCATTCTGATGGACTTCTGTAGGGGTAAGTATATGAACTATACCTTAAGCTCTTCTTTCTCTAGCACTTTGTCAAGGGCATGGTGGTCATTTCAGTTAATGTGTGCTGTACCCTAATGTATGACGTTCTGGTTTTAAAGATTGGAAAAGTAAGAGGCTAAAAGATGCAGAGCCTGCTGTCACCTCTTGATCATTCTTATAATGGCAAGGATCAGTGGCACAAACAATTCAGAGTGGTGGATAATACAAAACTCCATTTTTGTTGGGTTTAGGAAGGTTTGGTACTTGTATATGAATGAGAATGAATGTGTTCTTTGTGATGCTTTAAAACAAATGATGAAGGCACATAATAAAGACCCAACTCCACATGGACTAAAGAAACAATTCAGCTTCCCCACTCCCTCACTCATGTGTTCCCTTCTCCACCCACACCACCATCCTTGTGTTATGGGGTAAAAGAATCCTTTTCGTCTAATGGAAATAACCTTCCTCCCCTTGCTCAAGAGCTGTAATTGCCAGTAAGGCTACATTCAAATGATGGTGCTGTTAACAGTGAAGTTAAGTGGTTGAAAGCTTGGAGTTTCAAGCAGTATTTATCTTGGGAAATCCAGACTGTAGCAGGAATTTATTCAGAGTTGACTGCATTTCATACAACGCTTGTATGGAGGTTTGAGTTTTTTGGCCTAAGCAGCTGCCACTTACAAGCTTGGGTCACTGTCTCACTGTTTGGTGCCTGTTTTATAGTCACCCTTAACTTCTGCTAACATTTTCCTTGCCTTTAAAGATACTGTCCATAAATTAAATGTGCTGCTAATCCCAAAAATGTGATGTTACCCAGTAATTGCAGCCTTTACTGTAATAACTGTTAACCTGGTTTTGTAAAATACCACCAAATTTGAACTTGACTGTTTTGTTTCCTCCTGCTCATTCCTTTTTAGACAATAAAATGTTTAGAGATGAGGCAGTAGGAGCATCCAGGGATCTGGATAATTTTGTAAATGAGGTCTTTGGTCTTTTGGTCCTGGAGATTAAATGTTGGTGTAGCATTGCCACAGACCAGGCAGCAAGTAATGAAGCCAGAGAGACCAAGCTGTTCCTAAAGTACAGACTGTAAAGCTGTCTTCTTCCTTCTCCCAGGGTCTGTTGTGCACTCTGATTCTCACTAAAAGATACGGCAAGTTGAACCTGTGGCCTCATCTTATACACAACAGGGACAGGATAACCAGGGAAATAGAGCAGGGCCATATTGTCGTTCTGCTAATAATCTTGAAGACATAATGAGGGCAGCTCACATCTGAGGTGCTTTACAAAATAAACTGTTTTGACACATTTGACGAAGCACTGAATTGTAAGAAAACAAATCCCAGGTTGGGAATCAAGATACCTGGGTTTTAGTCCTGGCTCAGCCAGGGATCGTCAGCTCTTTTACCTTAGTTCAGGTTGCTGCTCTGTGCACAGCCATTCCTTCTCTCGGGTAAGTGACGAGCCTGAATGTTTATAATCTCTTTTTGGCTCTGCACCCCTCTCAGGAGGCCAGGTGGTCAACCTGATGAACCAACGCCTGCAAACAGGTTTTACAGAGAATGAAGTACTCCAAATATTTTGTGACACCTGTGAAGCCGTTGCCCGCCTGCATCAGTGCAAAACTCCCATTATCCACCGTGACCTGAAGGTAACAGACCACACTGTTTCATTAAGTGTGGTCTTCACGGAGTGTTTTCTATCTGCCCCAGGGATGGTGTAGATACTGTGGGGATGTGAGCAAAGTTTAAGACGTGGTCCCAAATTCTAACCTTGCATTCTGCTTGGGGAGAGAAAATACAAAGGAAAAAAAGAAGTAGCAGTATAGTGCAGGTATCAATTTTATTACTTGTAGTCTTCAGAAATTCTTTATAATCATCAAATGCCTGAACACATGTTTTTTTTGTTTTTCCTGGTAAACTCCCAAATTCACTTTTCTAGGCTCATGAAAAGTAATATGCTAATTTAAATAGTTTGTAAACAATGATGCTTGGTCTTTAAAGTCTATTTCATATTTTGAAAAATCCATTAATTGATTATTTTAAAACCTTGTCCTACTAATTACCATCCCTTGGACCAAGGCTTTCGTATTGTAGTCACTTGGCAATGTTTGTTGAATGGAATTGGCACTCAATTAGGATTCGCTAGGGTTTATGGAACACCGACTGTGTGCCATGTACTCTACTAGACACTTTATGTACACTTTCTCTTTGGAGGGAGACTTTTTTCTTTATATTTGGAAACTCAGGAGCAGAGAGGTTACGTGACTTGCCTAAGGTCATATAACTAGGAAGGGGCAGTACTGGAATTTGAATCCAGCTCTTCTGATTCTAAATTACAATTTCTTTTCATTATACCTGTGTTTCAAGAAACATGCTTCATGGCTAATAACTTGCATCAGCATCCCCCTAGTATACTTGTTAAATGCAGGCTGCTGGGGACCACACTGAATCTATTGTGCTGTAATTTTGGTGGTGGTATCAGGGAGGCCCAGGGTTAAGCACCCCAGGTGGTTTTTATATATTCTAAAGTTTGAGGATCACAGCATACTGGCATTTCTCTTTTGGGTTTTTTTTTTTTTTGGCTTTTTAAAAAAATTGAGGTATAATTCACATACCATAAAATTCACCATTTTAAAGTATATAATTTGGGGGGCCGGCCCCGTGGCTTAGCGGTTAAGTGCGTGTGCTCCGCTGCTGGTGGCCTGGGTTTGGAACCCCGGGCGTGCACCGACGCATCGCTTTTCCGGCCATGCTGAGGCCGCGTCCCACATACAGCAACTAGAAGGATGTGCAGCTATGACATACAACTATCTACTGGGGCTTTGGGTGAAAAAATAAATAAATAAATAAAATTAAAGTATATAATTTGGTAGCTTTTAGTATATTTACAGGGCCTTGCAACCATCACCACTATCTAATTCCATAAGATTTTATCATCCCACAAAAGAAACTCTGTATCCATTAGCAATCACTCTTCATTCACCCCCCCGCCCCAGCCCTGGGTAACCACTAATCTACTTTCTATTGCCTATTCTGGACATTTCATGTGTATGGGCTCATACAACTTGTGACCTCTTGTATCTGACTTCTTTCCCCTAGCATAATATTTTCAAGTTTCATCTGTATTGTAGCGTGTATCAGTACTTCATTCCTTTTCATGGTGTAATATTCTATTGTATGGATATACCATATTTTGTTTATCCATTCATCAGTTGATGGACATTTGAGTTGTTTCTACTTTGGCTATTATGAATAAGGCTATTATGAACATTCATCTACTAGTTTTTTTGTGGACAAATGTTTTCAGTTCTCCTGGGTATATACCTAGGCATGGAATTGCTGGGTCATGTGGTAACTCTAACTTTTTGAGGCACTGCCAAACTGTTTTCCAAAGCAGCTGCACTGTTTTACATCCCACCAGCAATAAATCAGTGTTCTAATTTCTCCATATCCTCACAAGCACTTATTATTGTCCTTTTTTATTTTAGCCATCCTAGTGGGTGTGAAGTGGTACATACATACTGGAGTTTCTATACTGAAGCAGTTAGCTTAGAGGAAGACAGGTGCATACCTTCAAAAGCCTTAGACAGCCTTCTCCAGAGTTTCTCTGCCCACAGTCTGCCCTTTTTCTGAATAGAAAAAGGAGAATACATCTCAGTAAATATTATGAGCCTAGCATAGTACAAGTACATAATTCTGTGGAGGTGGTACAGATATAATGTGGTCCTACTCTCAAGATGTTTAAAGTATTGGTGAGAGGATATAAATGAAATGTTTAGACTTGAAACAGAAATAGGTGAAATGCAAAACTTTATAGAACAGTGATGAATAGAAGAGAATCAAGTGGCTTAATGCATGATCAGATATTGAGATCAGGCAATGGTGTTGGAATCTTCTGGAAAGGTGGGATTTCAAAGGACTGGTGGGATATGGGTGGTCACAGAGAGAAAAGGATATTTCAGGCAGAGAGAAGAGCCTGAGGGCTGCCTAGAGAAGGGAACAGCAGGGTGTTTGAGGATGAGGAGGGGGGAGATAAGGACCCAGTGCATGGCTAGTTGCAGACCAGGCTAGAGTGATTGCAGGCCACTGCTCTGAGTATGTATTGACTCTTTATTCCTAGTCGCCCTTAACGATGAGTAAAATTCTTGGGCCTTTTAGCATATATTTAGAAATCAGCAGTTTTTACTGACGTTTTAGGACCTGACCTGTCTCCCTGCTGCCTGCCTTGGAGGAAAGTTTATGATGGGCAAAGAAATAGGAGGGAAGTGTAGCCGGGCAGCACCAACCCTGGTCTGTGAATGTGGGCACTGCTTCTGTGACCCGCATGAGCTCGGGCTTCTCTGGAGCCCCATTCTCCCCTCACGTCAGATGGGGTTCAATTTCATGTTGCAACTCTGATTCTGTAGCCCTCACCGTGTGACTTGTACCCACAGAACTGTAAGCACTATGGGAGATGAGCACAGCAGCATCCTACATATTGCCAGATGCAAAGGACACTTTCAGTCCCTGTCTTATTCTCTTCCCTTTGGCCTTTGACTCCTTCGTGTCTGTCTCCTCCCTTGACCTCTGTGACAGTGTGTTCTCCCTGGCTCCTCCTCCGGTTCCTTGGTTGCTCCTGTAGTCACTTAGCCTCTCTGAGCGTTGGTTTCCTCATCTGTGAAGTGGCGACAGCAGCCTAGCTTTGTTAGGGTCATGGTAAGGGTAAATGAAAGCGTATATGTCAACATCCAGGCACATCCCTGGCACAATGAGTCCTGAGAGGACACGGAGGTGAGAGCCAGGGGAGGAGGCAGAGAGGGCCCTCGAGCATCCTTTTAGAGATGCTAGTCCCATGTTCTTAAACAAAATCTTTCTTTATTTTAACTTTTTAAACATTTATTGGATTAAACGAGGCCTAAGTGATAATCATTATCACGTAAATAATACTTATCCAGTTTACGTATTCCCAGCATATTAATGCCCTGTTGTGTTCACAGTGCTGCTGTAAGGTGATTGGTAAGCATGGCCTACTGACAGGCGCCCGAGGTACAGAGTCTAACCTGGGGACATGGAGTAGGTCAGTGCTTGCGTTTAGGCAGCAGGAGCCCCAGACTCTTCCTTCACTGCACTGAACAGCCTGTGAGAAGTTTCAACAGAAGAAAGTGGAGCAAACTGGAATGGGAGGGTGAGGCTGCAGTATGAGTGAAGAGAGGCTGCCATGCTCCATTCCCCAGCCCGCCCTCAACTCTGTACCGTTTGCCTCTCATCATTGCTCCTAAGAGGCAGTGCAGTGCTGGAAGCACAGTGTTGGGCCCTGTAATTGTGTTTCAGTCCATATTGAAGACCATCAGGTGTGCTCCTGGGTTGCCAGTGGTGGGTCAGGAGACTTTGTTTCCCTCTCTCCTCTACCTTGGACATAGGGAACATAAATAGGGGCCCCTGGGAGGAGGTTTCGATTGGGATTGTTGTAGAGGAGTCCTGTTGCTGTTGATTTTAGTCGTTGACTCCCGGTTGTTTAGATTGAAGCTCTCCTAAACTCCCCAGATCTTATACTCGGTGCCATCCAGATGCTTTCGTTAGCATCTTAGATTTTGTTGATTTCTACTAGTATGTGTTTGGTGGGCAGTCACATTCGCCTGCTGCACTGCCAGCTTCCTAAGGCCGAGTGAAAATTTCCCATGTACCTCCTGTTTGCCCTGGCTGTGTCATTGCATCACGTAGCCTCGGCCACTCTGAGCTCCTTGTGACTGCTGGAAGCAGCCACCACAGTCTTAAGCAATAGCCAGAGCCAAGAAGTTCTTTATCCTCCTGTTGACCAGAGAAAGTGCTGGTTGCTGGTCTCTCAGTTGCTTCTCTGTGAGCAGGATTTCCATTTGTAAGGAGGCACCACTCTGAATAAAAGTTAGTGGGACAAGGGAAAGAACACAGGCCAGGCCAGCTGTGGACCCCCTAGTTGAGCCAGACCGCCCTGTGTGGGGGTCTGCTTGTTCACAGGCAGACCTGAGAAATGCCCTCTTGCCCTGCCTGCCACGTGTGTGGTCTTTCTTTCAAATCACATATGGGAAAGAAGTGAAAGCAGTCCCTGTGCTTAAGCAGTTTATGCTCTAAAAGTAACCAGAACAGAAGTTCTGTTCTTTATTGAAGGTCTGTCCTCAAATACATTATTTTATCATTTTAATTATTTACCCCGTTTTTAAATTTTCATCTCTCTGAGGAAAGATAGAGATCATTGTTGTAGATGACGGGGTCATAGACCTGGGAAGGTCAGCTACGCCAGGCCTCTCTTTTCACCAGTGAGGAGACCTCTGCCCAGAAAGGCTGTGGCCTGCACGGCTAATTCAGTGATCAAACCAGAGCAAAGGCCAAGGTTTTTCACTCCCGTTTTGGTTTTTGTCTGTTTGATTTTGCTGTATTATACCGTGCTCTTTGTCCAGGCACTTAAGAAAGAGGAAGAAAGGGTTAAGACTTAATATGCGCGTTCATGTTGAAAAAGTCATGAATGTCTCCTCTTTTGTCAGAAAAGAGATTTTGATCTCATGAAGTACAATAGGGTGAAGATTCTTGACCTATTTTTAGAATCACAGGTTTGAAAACCCACATTCATCTAATCCTTCAAAATTTCCAGTGGTGATAAATTCTATGATTGAAATGCCCGAATGCCATATCTGTTTGGAATAATGTCAAGATGAAGGGGTCAGTAGGAGATGGCTTTCCAGACCTTTTAGCTAAAGCAGCAGAGCTTGGGAGTGACAACTTTAATAACCCTCTTAAGCTGATAGGTTGGGAAATAAGGTCAGCAGCGTTCAACTTTCCAAGAGCTGAAAGATTTGAGGATTGTAAGTGGTGACCAGTGTTAGGCTTACGTCCTAAGGGACTTTGCCAAAAACAGAATCACTATGCAAATTCTCTGAAGCTTTCAGAAGATGGTGTATGAATACCCAGTTGGTTCTCTACCTTCCTAATCTCATTTAACCCCTCTTGACCCTGCTCTAGACCTGGCCCTATCTCCTCACACCTGGACGATTGTACCTGCCCTCATTTTCTCCTTTCTCTTGTTCTCCCTCCTCTGTTACCATGCTAACCTTCCCAAAACACCTCTTTTCATCTGCTGCTAACCTGTTAAAAAGGCTGAATGCCTCCTAGTGGCCTTCCTCACCCTGCCCTCTGTCTGCTTCTCTGGTCCTCTCTCCTCCTGCTCTTTTCTCTTTCACCAGTCTGAACTGTCCATGTTCCTTAATTACATAATGCTCATCAGTGCAGTGGGTGAGGGTGTAGTCCTAGCAGTCAGGCAGCCTGAGCCCAAATCCTCCCCTACCACCCTGTGACCTCAAGCATGTTAGGTAACTGGCCTCTGTCTTTCCATCTGTTAAGTAAGGTCAATAAGGCTTTTGTAAGAATTACATGAAATACTTTAGGTAAAAGTGCTTGGGGCAGTGTCTGGCACATAGTAAGTGCTGTTAGTTGGTGATACTATTGTTATTATTATCACTCCTGCCTCTTGTTCTTGTTATTAGTTTTACTTATCTAAGTCCTTCACTTCCTCCAAGCCCAGCATTATCTCGTCTCCCCATTCATAAGAGCGCTAGGACAGAATATGTCCGGTCCTATGTTTTCAGTTTTCTTAGCAGTACCAGTGCCCAGCACAGTGCTGTGCCTGCCATAATGGCCTGCCTCTGTGCTTCTCCCCTAGGTGGTTCATGACTGCTCCCTTCTTCATTCAAGTCTCTGCTCCCCTCATCAGAGAGACCTTCTCTGACTGTGCTGTTTACACTTGCATCCCTCTTCACCTTACATATGTTTAACCTGCTGGATTTTTTTTCATAATGTTTATCACTATCAGGCAATTATACTTATTTTCTTATTATCCTCAACTGGACTCTAAGCTCCATGAGAGAATGGATTTTGATTTGTTCACAGCCTTATCGCCATAACCAGAAAAGTACTTGGTGTGTAGTAGGAGTTCAAATACCTTTCTTTAATAAATGAATGGTAATAACATCTTGCATTTGTATGGAGAGATTTACAGTTTGTTTTCACATACATCCTCTTACCTGCTTCATAACAGTGATAGAAATATCAGCCTTACTTTGCAGATGAGAAACAAGGCCAAAGAGATTTAAAGATTTGTCTAAGGTCACATGTCTGAAATAGTCACTGAGGTCTTCTGACCTCATTGTGGTTGCCACACACCAGGCTCTGTCTTCAGTGTTTAGTTGGTGATGGTGGTGGTGATGACCAAGGGCAGCAGCAGTGGCCAACTTGGTCTTGGAGGTTTTCACAGGTGTTATAAGTCACAGGGACAGACTGAGAGGGGGCAGAGACGGGCATTAGCAACTGCTGCCGGGTGATTTCACCTTCGTAATCTCATTTAATCCTCCCAACAGATTTACAAAGTAGCCAAGCAGGGATTACTGTTCTTCTCTGCATAGATGTTTCTTTGATATTGATAAAGCTTTCCCTGCATTGATATTTCTGGTTCTCTTGTCTACCTTTGTACACACCCTTAATTTTTAACTGGTTTTCCTGTAAATATAGTTTTGTACATTGTTATCTTGTGGGAGGGAGGGAGGCAAGCTGAGCTGGAGACCAGGTTGGATATAGTATAGCTCCTGAGTTCTGCCACTGTGGAACCTAACCAGAAATACAGCTTTTAAGATTGGGTGGTGAGGGGAACCCAAGGTGCCTTATCTTTATTCTGTCCTCTGTCTACCAAGTTCTCCTCCCTCCCCTAACAGTGATTTTGACCCCTAGAACCACCTTGTTTGTGTTTTGATGTGAATTAACTTTTCAGTTTTATAGATTGTACATTCCAGCATTAGAAGGATAGAAACCAATTTGGGAAGGGACTGCACTCATACAATAGGAGAAGCATGGTTTCACATGAGCCTTTACGTGAGTGAGATGCATGAGGCCAGAAAGGAATATTGTTGCTGAATGATGTTGAATAAGGGACTTAGGGATCCCTGGTGTGTATAAAATACTAGATTGGGTATTGTAGGGGACACATAGGCATAACATAATTGTAGGTCAGAGATTGGCAAACTTCTGCAAAGGGCCAGATAGTGAATATTTTAGGTGTGTTGACCATACAGTCTCTGTCTCAACTGCTAAACTCTGTCACTGGAGCTCAAAAGCAGCCATAGACTAGAGGCTAAGTAACCACTGAGCAAGGCTTAGTTTGGCTTGAAGGTCTTACTTTGCCAACCCCTCCTACCAAAGGTAAATTCTATAGATTTTGTAGGGTGGCCGTGGAAGATTTTACTTAGGAGTTACAACTTGAGCAAAGCCTTGAAGAATGGCTGGAAATTGACTACTGGAGAGTGAACAATTGATTAAAAGAACAAACTAAGTAATATAGGGAATGCTTAGGAGACATTGAGCAAATCAGCCTGGCTAGTATTTAGACACTTGGTTCCTCATTGACTAGGTTCCTGTTATAGGGGCATTTCTGAACATAAAGAACTAAGGTAGCCCTGTCCTTAAGCTTGTACCTGGTACATTGGGCAAGTATAGTCATCAACCCTACCAGGGTTGGAGGGTGGGGGTGTGATCCTTGAGTAATTGCTCTGTTTCTAACCTGCTTCCTGCCTTAGCAGAAAGGTAGTTGCCTGTCGTTCTCTAGAATTAGATTGCCTAGGCTCACTTCCTGGGTTAAACACTGTGAGCCTCACTTTCCCCATCCTTAAATTGGAGATATTATTATATTGTTATTTTGAGGATTTAGGGAGATGATCCATGTAAAGTGCTGAGTACAGTAGTACTCATGATAGTAAAAGCTCAGTAAATTGTGGCTGTTTTTTTAATAACCTCTAAATTAGATTGAAAACATTAGTGTTTCTTTGTTGGTATTATTTTAGGTTCCTAAAGTGGGTATATGTTCAGGATAGCTTGACTGTTTCACTTTGTGTACATAACATCAACAATGACAAAACCCCTCACAACACCATAAGTGAAACTCAGTAGGAATAAAAAAACAATAAACTACAGAATCAGTTTGCAGTGAAGACTTTAGGTATTGGATTTAGCAGATACAGACTATAAAATAAATACCTTTATAATATGTAATATAATTTTAGAGGAATTAAAAGAAAGTGTAGAAAGAAGTATAGAAACAAGGAACTATCATAATTGACCAGATATTTTTAAAAGAACCAGTAGTAGTAGTAGGGCCTAGGTATTTGGTAGCTCCTATCATGCTTCTGACAGACTGGTGTACGTGCATGCACGCACAGACACACACAGTGTTATATGCATTTCTGGTTTTTAGTTGATTCCATTCAACCAACATTTTCTGTACCAAGCACTATGTTAGGCACTGGCAGAGAAGACTACTGATATCTGTGCTTGTCCTTAAGGAGCTTATAGTCTACTCTTGCCTTTGTTTTCCAAAGGTGGTCAGTCTTTGGAAGACTGGAGACAAAAGACAATGGAGACTACAGACTTACTGGCCTAACAAGATTTTTTGGCTGCCATTTTACTGCCCACGCATAGCCAGGTCTGTCCTCCAGCATACCAGTCAGCTCAATTCACCTATACCAGAAATTAATCAACACATTTTGAGTACAGTAGTGCCTGCTATTTTCGAGTTATTTCATTGGCAGAGTCCTTTGATACCAGGGATTTCTCTAGTTTCTGGTCTTTGTAAGTTTTCTTCTACCCAGAACTCCTGACTCACTGCCCAAAGAATTCATCTATAAAAAAGTTAGGGTAACTGCCCATTTGCCCACAGGCCTTTAATCACTTTGAGAAGTAACTAAAATATAGGCAAATATTTATTAATTCTGAAAATCCTAACCTATTATAGTAAAGAAATTGATATATGTGTTTATAAGGCCTAGGTGAAATCATTGACATCAGGAAGAAGAAAGTACTAAAGGAACACATTTGTCTGAGTGGAGGCCTGAGGAAAACTTCAAAGAGATGGCATTTTCAGGAGTTTGAAAGATGAATGGGATTTTGATAGTTGGGTAAGGAGGTGGGGATCACAGAGAGCATTCTAGACTGAAAGAAAAGCAAGAGAAAAGATGAGGCTTGAAAGTATAAAGTTTCTGCAGAGGTCAGAAATGTGGCTGGAAATCTAGAAAAATGGGGCTCTTGCTTCCCCATTGTGGAATTTCCTCTTTTTGCCCCCTCCACTCTCATTTTACCCTGTTACTGTTCACCTCTTTTTGTTCAGATACTTGGAGGGGAATAACTTTCCTGTGCACATTAATGAGATTACCAGAAGTAAAATATTGTATTTATATGACTGTGAACCAAATTTTCACATGCATTACTAAATGATATTTTGGAATGAGTGGTTGGGGATTGTTTTTCAGGTTGAAAATATCCTCTTGCATGATCGAGGCCACTACGTCCTGTGTGACTTTGGAAGTGCTACGAACAAATTCCAGAACCCGCAAACTGAGGGAGTCAATGCAGTCGAAGATGAGATTAAGAAGTAAGCTTTTCCTCCGTTCTTGGAGTTTTGTCTGTTATCATATCGGCAACTTTACTTTCAGCTTATGGTTGAGAAGGTCAGAGTGGGAAGACGTGGTGCTAGTCAGTTGCCCCTGTCTCAGAGCATCATGTTGGCATTAAGATTGTTTGATTTTAAGTGGAGGATGTGGAGAGGGTTCACAATCATTGATTAGTAGAGTAAAATGAAGGAATCTTATAGCATTATATCAGTGGTCCTATGGTCATTGTGTATAGATATTTTGATTTACATCACATAGCCTTTAAAAAGCTGTGTGGTGCACACACTGTAGAAGTCCTGTGATGTTTGTAAGTGGAATCACAACAACCATGACATTATCAGTCAGTTGTATGTACTTTTTGCTGAACCATGAATTGTTCTGTATTCCTTCCTGCTCATAAGGAGCTCACCTGCAATCTAGTGGAATTAATGGTGAGTAGGGCTATTGAAGTTTCTACAGATATTGAATCACTGACTTCCACCAGAAGAAGCTTCTTTAGATTTGTGACTCCAATAAGAACCTGACCGGTTTTCCCCTGTTGTCCAGAGTGTTGGATTTTTCACAGGCAACACCACACACTGTTTCTATTGATAAATCAGCAGTCTAGCGTGCACACTTATATCCTGATCTTTACTCTCCTTTCCTGCATCACCCATGGCAACCAAGCCTGGGGGAGGAAGACTTCTGGTCCAAGGCCCTGATGGACAATTAAACCACGGTGCCCTCTGGGCTCTAGAGACTCAAGCAGCATAAGTCATATGCGTGGTAACACCAAGATACTCACTTTGAAGATGAGCATATAGCACTCTTTTCTTGACGCAGAGATAAGAGGAAAACTAATATTTCAGCCCTTTTCCAGGAATGAAGATCTCATCCACACCCTGCCCACGCCCCCCAGCCAGGATCCACTTTCTGCTGTTTTACAGAGTGTCCCAGCCAGTATTACATCTCTGTGTCAAGCCTCATTTAAAGGGATTACTATTTTTTTAAAAAATTAGCAAAATATAGTATCAGACAGCAAGGCTTTACAGGAGAGGATTTTGTTATTTGAGGAACCAAGAAAAGTTGCTTTTGGAGTTTATTTAGTGCCTTAGTATCTGGGTTCCCACATGCTCCTAGATTAGAAGGACTGCTGTAGAGGGCCATGGGTGTGTGCCAAGGACAGCTTTTCATTTTATCTGCACTAATATTTCATACTCTCTTCTGCAGATTGCTCCCAGGGAACTAGACTCTATTAATATATATATATTTTAAAAGTATTTCTGCTGCTCCTGGTTTTTAATTATAGCATTGACATATATTTAACAAAAAATGAATCTCTTGATTGTAGATACACAACGCTGTCCTATCGAGCACCAGAAATGGTCAACCTGTACAGTGGCAAAATCATCACTACGAAGGCAGACATTTGGGTAGGTGTCAACTAACCTATCCACATCTCAGATATCAGCAGTCTTGACTGTAAACTCTCAGCTTTAATCCAGACAGTGCCATAGCACAAGTGGCCACTGTACCATACCATTGTCCACTTATCCCTCGGGGTTATTCTTGCCTCGAGGTGACTAGCCACTGCTTGTTGAAGCATGTCCAAGAAAATTACTTCAGAGCTCTGTGAAAATTATTCAGGTGACCTGCCCATTATTTAGGTGGTTTTCACATATGTGTTACTAGTTCTTAAGAGCAAAACAGCTGAAATACTTGTTCTTTCTTGGAGCACAATTTGGTAATACTGTTAGAAATAATGTAACTCAGCAGCTAAATAGTGGTGTTGGGTTCTAAATTCAAGTTCCTAATAGGTTACTAGTACATAGTTTTTATATCCGCTAGTAAATGTGGATGGTGCCAGTATCTCTCAGTAGACCCATTGCAGTTATGGTAAATAAACCACTAGTAGCAATCTGCTTTCTTTATCTTTTTAGGCTCTTGGATGTTTGTTGTATAAATTATGCTACTTCACTTTACCATTTGGGGAGAGTCAGGTGGCAATTTGTGATGGAAACTTCACAATTCCTGATAACTCTCGATATTCCCAAGACATGCACTGCCTAATTAGTAAGTATTTCAAGTTTCATGTTTTTATTTCAAATGTCTAGGAATGAATTGGAAGATAAAGGGATTAGATCCCAGGAGCGGTGGGTTGGATGCAAAGAAAAAGAAATCAGTTGCTAATGCTTGGTCACTCAAATATAATATAACAATGTCTAGTTAGAGTGGTAGGTCTTTTTGCTAGAAGTCTAAACTCTGTTTCACACCTGAGCCAGCCACCTGAGCAGAAATCCTGATTGTGCTTTCATCAGTAGAGTACTGCTGTTGTCTCTTACAGTCTGTATGAAAGCTCTGGTGCCAAAGGAGTCCAGCTGATTCATATCAAGTGATAAGAAATTCGTCTTTGCAAAACTGGAAGCAACTCAAATTAAAATGATTGCAATGCGTTGGCTGGATTGAATACATAATTAAGACTGTATAACTCGATGGAACTAGGTTTTTCCTTTCATTTAGGTTAATCACTGGATTTTGATAATAAGCATTGAAACTCAATGCTTTGTTTAAGATGTTTTTTTAAGATTCCCGACTCTTTTGCATTGTCAGAGCAAGCATATGTACCAATGTTCATTAGCCAGATGGTAGAATAAGTCATCTTTGCACAAACCACTGTACTAAAATGCTAAAGAAACAGAGATTTTTATCATCTCTTTACATTGGTCCAGACATTTAGCATCTAAATTTTATTATGGATTGATTATAAATCCTGAACAACCCAATTTGGGTCCTGAGTGGGGGTGTACCGGAGAAAATAGAAGCAAATGTGGGGCGGAGCATCTGGCATTTGTTGAGGGCTTAATTGTACTTTATTTAATTCTTAAGACCTTATATAGTAAATATAATTGTCCCCATTATACGAATGAGGAAACTGAGGCTGAGAAAGTAAAGATAACTTACCCAAGTTAACAGTTATAGCTTTTAAGTGACTATCCATTCCATTGTCCCATTTATCAATCAACCTCTTCTGTTTATTAACAAAAAAGGGGGAAGTGTATTTAAAGGAATGGATTATGGCATTTAATGATTGTTGGATTGTTTTCAGAGATAAAGCATTATGTCTATTCTAGAATTCTATGTAAATGAGATTCAAAGGAAATATGGGAAAATGGCCAAATTAGATGCCAGAATGATAGAGTTTTTGGTAATAAATTTTTTTCTTCTTAACATTTGTACAGCAAATTCATATTAGGAAAACTCTTTATGAATGTCTGTAACATGACATCTTTCCTAAACTCTGATCTATTTCAGTTTACAAACTGTTTGAAGATTCCACTGTCACCCTAAACTCACAGGTCTAAAATTAAATTGTTGTCATTGCCCTCCCCACAACCTTCTTTTATTCCTAGTACAAGGTTCCCCTCTCCTCTTTTCAGTTTCTGTCAGTGCTGTCACCATGCAAACTTGGATGACTGAAATTTAAGGTTTTCTTTGGATCTGGCTAGCAAGAGAGAGGAAAGAGTCAGTCATTTCCTAAGCAGCATTAATTCTTTCTTTGGAGTTTCTCCTATTTTCATTACATTCTATCTATTCCAGTCACTGTCACCATAGTACATGTAGACTCTGTCAGCTCATGCCTATACTGGTGGATTGGCCACCAGCAACACGCCCTCACCACGAGATTAATCTTCTAAAATGCCACTCTATCATGTCCCTGTTGGTAAACTTCGTGGCTTATCAGTGGTCCCACAGTAAGGCCCAAGATTCTTGGCACGGCCTTTAAGATCCTTCATATTCTGGTTCCAATCCACCCACCCAGGCTTATTTCTCTATATTCTCTGACAAGGAAATCTTTGCCCTGTCCTTCTGGCTCCTCTATTTCCTTGTAACCAAGCATTCTCTTGCCTTTCTCCGAGTCCGTCTTTGCTCAGACTCTTCTCTCACCTGCATTGTCTTTTTCTCTGCTTTCCCCTAACTGACTAACTAAAATCTTTCCTGCCTTCAAGTACCAGCTCAAGTCCTGCCTTTTCTACAAGGCCTTCGTAAGACTGCAGCCTCCTCAGTCTTTTCTGAACTTAGTGTCCAAACCATTCATTTGATTCCTTAAGCAATAAATTGCCTTGCATTGTTGTTTGTATGTATACATGTATATGTTTGTATGTCTTCTCAAAGATTTTTTTTCCTGAGGATTTTTCCAGCTTCAGAAAGGGCAGAAGCTTAAAGGACCTGGAAACAGACAAGTGATATATAGATCATGGTAAAAGTAGAGATGTAATTATTATTTTGTAATTTCTTTTAGATTGGAAATCAGCTAATATCTCCAACAAAAGAATAATAAGTAAATGAAATTTGAGTTTTGATTATATTTATCAAGAATAATCATTTGTTTAGCAAGATATTGTGCACTAAGGAGGCCAGAAGCAAGATCTTATAACTTCCTAGATACCAGAATATGAAGGTATTAACTTTTATATTGAGAGCTTGAGTCCTTGTTGTACAAGGCACAGAATGTGAGCTTCAGATATCTTTGTTACAATCCACAAACTTTATTTTCTTGTGGATATTAAAAATTTTAGGAAAGTTAGAGCTTCCCTTTCTGAGAGAGGGAAAAAAGGGCTAATTGTACTGTCTGATTTTTATGAGAAATAAAAATTAAAAAACAACAAAATTTTGGTAATAGAGAAATTATGCTTCCTAGCTAATGTAATAACTGTTAGGATAGTTTTAATCAGTTCACATATGTTTGTCTTAGGGTATATGTTGGAACCAGACCCTGACAAAAGGCCGGATATTTACCAGGTCTCCTACTTCTCATTTAAACTACTCAAGAAAGAATGTCCAATTCCTAATGTACAGGTATGTGAAAGGTGCTTTTTAGGGGAAGTAAACACTACCTAATTGTCATTTAGAATTCCTGGGGTGCTAATCAGCTGTTTAAATGAATATGGATGTCCCTTGCTTTGTCTAGTAGGGGGCATTCAAGCAAAGCTAACTATGTAGCAAGTGCCGTAAAGGGAGTCCAATTTTCCTATAGAATTTAATTACAAAACAGAGTCAGTTATACTGAAAAAAAAAATTGCTCTAGGGTTTGAGTTCAACACTTTGGGTGAAGATTGACCAACCTATTGTCTTGTCAGCTTTTCCCAGTTCACTGAAAGCCATGTGCCTGTTGGAGTGACCTAGAGGTGGTTAGGCAGGCTGCTTTTCTGAGCGAGGCTCTGGACTTACCCCCACACCTGTTGGAATGTAAACCCCTTGTTCTTCTGCTCCTTCATTGCAGCAGAGCTTTCTTGATTTTGATTCTGCTGTTGGCCATCTATAGCTCCCACTCATCTTCCTCTACCCTCCCCACACATGTCGGGTACGGATGTTTGCTAGACTTAGTAATCCTAAACTCTACATTCACAGTTTTCAGGGTACAGTGCTTGCAAACACCCTGTTTACAGTCTTGGCATATTTTTCATGTCACAGTATGATCCAACACTCTTGAATATTTTACTAATGGATGCCGTAATAAATAAGTTCTAATCCAAAATTGTCCTCCTCATTTCTCCAGTAATGAACTTTTGATGTCACTGTTGGGGCTTGCGGGTGCTGATAAATGACACTCCTCTTTCACTCCCACGTTTGGAGTCAGATGTGGGAATCATTCAGATGGAGCTCAGAATGTTGGCTTTGTTACTCATAAGATTGAGTCAAAGAACGTAGCTTGACCAGTCAGTCTCCCTAACATCAGCTCCAAACGACTGAGCAGTCAGTGCCTGGTTCCTGAGGGACAGGCTCTTCCCTAAAGGAAGGAGGGCAAGGGTGAGCCAGACGAGCTTCACGTTTTTCTCCCAGTCTTATCAGTCAAATAAATTACCCTTCTCCCTTGGGAGAGGAATGCTTGGACGGTAAAAGAGAAGCTAGGAGAAATTTTCTAGCAGAAATTCTTTCCACCTGGAAACATGAAGGAAATGGAACATCCCTCCTAAAAGCCAGTTTGATATTAGTATTCCATTTGTCAGGTTTCCCACATTAAAACGAGGGATACTGTTCAATAACCTAACATGACTGTGGTTTTTTTTTTACTGTCCCACTTTCCCATTCATAAAATAAAATAATGTGAAATATAATTGGAGGCATTTGGATTGGTAACTAGTTTCTATTTCTTTATTTTTATTTTTTGTGAGGAAGATCAGCCCTGAGCTAACATCCGATGCCAGTCCTCCTCTTTTTTGCTGAGGAAGACTGGCCCTGGGCTAACATCCGTGCCCATCTTCCTCTACTTCATATGGGACGCCGCCACAGCATGGCTTGACAAGTGGTGCGTCAGTGTGCGCCTGGGATCCAAACCTGTGCACCCTGGGCCACTGAAGGGGAGCGTGGGTACTTAACTGCTGCGCCACCGGGCCGGCCCGGTAACTAGTTTTTAAAAAGTCAACTTCACAAGTCTCAAGTCATTTGGTACTCGCTCAGCAGTGGTGAGCAGTTGTCTGGTGGCTGGGACAGCTAGTGCTTCCTTAAGAGGCGGCGTTAGATGGTGCAGAATCCAGGCTGGAGGCGCTCTGCTTGCCTTGTGGATTGAGTAGTGCCTCACACACGGGGAAGAGGTGCTGCCTCAGCAACCAAACCCTCTGTGGCTGTGGTTTTCTCCCAGCATTCTAACTGAACACACCCTGGTTTTGGCACGCTAAGTTAGCTTTAACTTCTCTAAGATGTATCTGAGAGCTTAAATAGTAATGTAAGTTACAGACGTCTCTTTCTCATTTCTTTCATAACATCATTTCTAAGCTGTGTTGTAGGAAGAGAAGGGTGCTGAGTTCAAGCCCCAATGCCCTTAGCCTGGTACAGAAGGTTGAGAATGATGGGGGAGGAGTGTGCTGCACGCAGGCTGCTCTGTTCTCTTCTCAGATACTCTGCCTCCCTGAGGGCTGAGTCCAGTGGGATATATTTTTGGTTAACTTCCCTTCCCTCTACCAGAGATCAGGGCCTGAAAGCCGCTCCAGAAGACTCCAATATGTATTTCCATCGGCCCAGTCATGCTGGTTATTCTTTTACAAAGCAATCCGTGATGTCCTTTTTAAATTTCCTTTCAATTCTATAGAACTCTCCCATTCCTGCAAAGCTTCCTGAACCAGTGAAAGCCAGTGAGGCAGCTGCAAAAAAGACCCAGCCAAAGGCCAGGTAAGAAATGCCTTGGTGAGCACAGGTCCTGCTCCGGGTGCCGCAGTAGCAGGGGAGGGTGCCTGTGTTTCTTCATTCTTAGACTGCATGGCCAGAGGCTGGCAGAACAGGAAAGCAAGCTCTGTCTCCCCTAGGCAGAAACTGTTCTTTGGGAGTGCAAAGAGGAATATAATGAAATACAGTGATCTACATTTGAAAGAGAATCAAGAACTCCACAGCTGTTTCCTTTGCTTGGGAATAGGTGCAGGGGCATTCGGAGATGCGGCAACAGCAGACTTTAAATATTGCTAGTACACGAGTGTCCTAAACACATGTGACCCGGCCTTTGTTTAGCCTCGTTCAGCACCCTAATCCTCCACCTTCCTTTCCTTCACAAAAGAGCCTGTGGATTTTAGCTAATCACATTCTATGTAACCTGGGGTCTTCAAGAAGCACATGCAGAGAGAGGATTAAAGAAGCTAGGATTTATTTGGGGAAATACCCCTGTGAGAGAAAATTGGGAGACAGCCAGGGAAGATTGGGAGAGCCATCAGAAGGCGATGTAAGTGTCACCAGAGAGAGGGAGCAGGTTGGATGGAAGTGACTTAGAAACTGCTACACAATTTAAGGACGGTTCACCAAAGGTGTTGGGGAGTCCTTGAGCCAAGTCAGCCACCCTATCTCCCAGGAACGGGCCTGCCTTCATATCCCAGCCACAGGAGCAGGCTGTGGGAAGTGTGGCCCCAGGGCAAACACAGCAGTGAGCGCAGCAGCTAGGGCGCTTGGTCTCTTGCACCCCTTGTAGTTGAAGGTCTGCAGGACACATCCTCATGGCTGCCATGCCTTCTAAATGGCAAATTCTGAGGGTAGTCGAGGAGATATTTATACTCCTCTGTTTTCTACCACATCTCCAGGGCAAGGAAATGTTAGCAGCAAACTCAACGAAGTACCCTAGATGGGAAGATGTGAATTTTAGTAGAACAGTAAAATAACTTCTACCCTTTTAAAAAACTCTTGAATATTTATAGAATGCCTGCTGCTGTGGCTCTAAAGTAATGAGACTTTGGTTTTTAACAAACTTAGCAAACTATATCCACGTTGTTACTTTGTGGTCTGTTTATTTCTTACATAAATCTGCCGTGCTCACCTCTAGGAATTGCTTTGTGGGCTGATTCAATTAGCTTAATATTTTGAATTTATGGCCATCTTGTACTAGGCCCAAAACACGGTAGGTACTGAGGCTCAGCAAGGATCCATTCTCACAAAGCACACACATTTATAAAAATGATAATAGCCACTAACATTTGGGTGGTACTCTGTTGTGTAAAAATGGAGAAAGTAATACCTACATCATAAGGCAGATGTGAACATCGAATGCATCAGTGACTGTGAAACTGTTTTGTAAACTTTAGAGTGCCCAAGCTGTTATTTTGTATGGTCCTCAATAATGTTATGAGAATACACAGACCTTAAAGCCAAGACATTTGGGTCTAACTTGTCTTATCGCTAATTTAGAATGATTACATTTGCATTATCATATTTGCTCCCGAGTTCTGAGAGGTGGGTTTTCTTTCTAACCCTATTTTTAAAGTAGCCACTATTCATTGAGGCTTCATGTATACCAGGTACCATACTAGGTACTTTACATAAGTAAGATGACTTTTTTCCCCCTTAAAACGAACCTGTGAGGTTGTTGTTATTCTCACTTTACAGATGAGGAATCAGACTCAGAATTACAAGTAAGTTGCCCAAAGTAGTTAGTCAATATGGAGTTAAAAGAACCGGAACTTCAGCATCCATACTCTTTCTACTCTGTACGTTAAGTGATTTGCCCAAGATCACACAGATAGGACAACTTAGAGGCAGATCTTCTGGCTTCAAGGTCTGTATTTCTCGTAGTATATTGAGGTCCATACAAACTAACATTTTGAGCACTCTTTAGTTTATAAAATGGTTTCACAGTCATTGATGTATTTGATGTTCACATCTGCCTCATGATGTAGATATTATTTTCTCCAGTCTACACATAAGGGACCCAAAGCTGAGGTTAAATGACATACCTATTATCACACAGTTAGTTAGTGGGGAGTGAAGCTCAAATATAGTTTTCTTTGACTCCAAATCCCATTGTCTCGAAGATGTTACCTTAGGAGAAGTCCAATGTGGAAGTTCTTAGCATTTGGTTTTACGAAAGTCTGTTCACCTCCCTCGGTCTTAGCTTTATCTCTCTTACACCTTTCTCCTCTTTCCCAACCTGTGTCCTACCTTCCTTCCCACTTCCCTTCCCCAGATTATAGCCTCCCCAAATGTGATAGCTTTTATATTCTCAGTTCTCCACCTAGCACAAGAGCATCCCTCTAGCAGGATGCCAGTGAAAAGCCTCAGGGTCCAGAATGGACATACCTTGGAGGTATGTCATGGAGAAGGACATGGGCCAGGTGCTTTGCTTCCTGTTTTACATTTCATGGAGGCTGTGCCAGACATATTTTGGAAATATTCATGAAGCTTGTTTATTTTGGCCTTATCCTCAGCTACACTCCCTAAAGCGCATTTTCAAAGAACAATCACTCTGATCTGAGTTAGGTAGTAGCCAGCTGTCTGGACTGCTATAAATGAATAGAAGTCACCACCTAAGCTTTAGTACCATCACAAGGAGCAAGCAGACCACACAGCAGTCTTCCCTGTATTAATTTGGATTAGATTTGGCTATGAGTTACACAAAGTCCAAAATGACAGTGGCTTATGTAAGATAGATGTTTATTTTTTTCTCTCAGGTAAACAAAGTCTGCAGGTAAGTAGTCCAGGGCTGGTATGGCAGTTCCACTCCATGAAGCCCTCAGGAGCCCAGGCTCTTCAAGCTCACCACTCTACCATCCCTATGGTTGTGGCCATGGCCTCATGGACCAATACGGCAGCATCCCTGTTCCAAGCAACAGGAGCAATAAATAGCCAAAGAAGAAGAGAGACAAAGGGCATGCACCAGTTACTTCTTAAGGTTTCTATAAACTGCCACATAACAATTGGCTTACATCCCATGTAAGGCCAGAACTTGGACATATGGCCATACCTGATTGCAAGAGAGACTGGGTGATGTGATTTTTGTCCTAGATGACCCTATGCCCAGCTCAAGTTTTTTTTATTGAAATATATTTGATATATAACATTGAGTAAATTTAAGGTATACAACAGCTAAAAATTTTATCACCATGGGAAAAAAGGGAGTGTATGTATTGGAGGAAATGGAGTTCCTGTCACTCTTCCCAAATCCTTTACCTTGAATTCTTTACTTCTTTCTTCTACTCAATGCCTTATTGGATTCATTCATTTACATGCTTTTTATTGTAGAGAGACCATTTTGACAGCTAGTTCTAATCAAGGTTGTCTTCCCTCCACATCTGAAAACCAACTGCTTCAAACCCCTCTTTGCGTCATCACCCAAAGTGTATTCTGGGAAATCCTAGGAAATTAGGTAAAAGGGTCCCAAGGTCAAATAAGTTTGAGAAACACTGCATTCTATATTGTGATCTCTTTGAGGTTCTCCATGCATGTGCACATGTGAAAAGTTCTGCTGGAAAGAAATCTGCTCAATATATTTGGTCAGTGTGTTAAAACTTATTTCCCCGTGAAGCGTTTATTCATAACATTGTATAAGGTATAGCATCCTGTGGAAGACCCTTTGGGAAATGTCAGTTAAGTGGCTCTCGAAGGTTTGGATGAGTGTGGAGGGGAAAGCTAATCCATCATCTACTCTGTGTACCCCTCCCCCATTTTCCCACACTTGAACATGAATCTTTTTTTTTTCTTTTCCTTTTCTAGACTGACAGATCCCATTCCCACCACAGAGACTTCAATTGCACCCCGCCAGAGGCCTAAGGCTGGGCAGACTCAACCGAACCCAGGAATCCTTCCCATCCAGCCAGCCCTGACACCTCGCAAGAGGGCCACGGTTCAGCCCCCACCTCAGGCTGCAGGTCAGTAGCTAGGTTGATTTGAAATTTGGTGCACCTCTTTGTTATCCTGGATAATAGAGAAGTCTTGGAAAGCCTGGTTTTGCTTCAGGAAAGGAATGCAGAGGCACATGAAGAATAATGGTTTTCCTTAAGGAACAGGAGGTGAGGTGCCACTGAAATTGTATAGCAGGAGGCTGGTGAAAGGGGAGACCTCTCATTGAATTCTGTGGAGGATCTCCAAGACTACTGAAGCCTGTTGTCTCTGTTTTTTCTAGTCTTGGCCCTGATTTTGTGGCTTGTCCATTCATCCCATACCTACCTCTTTATGTCATATACTTCTCTTTGCCTTTAAAGACACAAGACTCACCTCTTTCTGGCACAGAGAAATTGTTTCTTTAATGCTCTGTCCCTTGAAGTATCTCTCACTGCTCCATGGTTTGGTATTCTGTTTCTAATGAGGTGGCTGAGTTTAGTTTCATAAAGAGGACTGATCCAAACTGTCAAGTAACTGAACTCAGCCATCACTTCCCCAACCTGGAAGCTGCTTTTGAGGAATTTGGTGGCCAGCTAATTACAGCCAGGCATCCAGACTGGGGTTGTGTAACCTGCTTGCAAAACATCAAAGAATGTGTTTATCCTACAGCCATGCCAGCAAGTGCGAAGATTGTGTTTATATACAGCAGCATCAAAGGCCAGTTGAATATGTAGATACTCAGGGTGCTGACTAAAGGAGTGATTGACTAAATGGGGTGGTGAATAAGGGAAGACTTTCTGAAGGAGGCAAGATTTGAACCCTGTTATTGAACCTTGTTTTGAAAAAATATGAAGCCTGTGGTTTGGCAAGAAGAAGGAAGGACCTTCCAGGTGCAAGGACAGTGAGGAGCACATGGATCTTGGGATTATCTGTCCACTTACCACCCCATCTTTCTTGCTTTGGCAAGAAAGAAAGCCGTTTTTGTCTTGAAGAGTTTTAAGCCCTTAAATGGAGTTTATTCTCATTGCAGGATCCAGCAATCAGCCTGGCCTTTTAGCCAGTGTTCCCCAACCAAAAACTCAGCCCCCACCCAGCCAACCCCTACCACAATCTCAGCCCAAGCAGCCACAGGCTCTGCCCACCTCCCAGCAGGCGCCTTCCACTCCGGCCCAAGGTCTGCCCACTCAGGCCCAGGCCACACCTCAGCACCAGCAGCAACTCTTTCTCAAGCAGCAACAGCAGCAGCCGCAGCAACAGCCACCGCCGCCACCACAGCAGCCAGCGGGCACGTTTTACCAGCAGCAGGCCCAGGCTCAGCAGGTAAGGTGGTCCAAGTCTGACCCTTGCTTTGCATGTCTGAGTTGTCACTGTGAAAAGGCCCACTAGGTACAGGCATCTTCCTTGGGAAGCCCTGGGAAGACAGCCATTAACCGTCGCATCATTGCTTCTCACAAAGGTAGATACTAGAGCATTGCGTAGTGGAGCAGTCACTGGATCGCTCGCACCCCTCTCACCTTTCTCCTCAGGCCTTGGGGAATTCCCTACCTGATTGAGGAACCTCAGCGAGGGAGCTATTTTTTAAGGACTCTTTTTTCCTAACATAACTACAACACTGTTATCATACTGAAAAAAATAATATAATTTCTTATTATCATCAAATATCCAATAACTCCTTCTGATGTCTCATAATTTAAGTTGGTTTGTTTGAATCAGGACCCAAATAAGGTCTACCTGCTATATTTAGTTGTGATGTATCTTTTTCCTCCCATTATCTTTTCATATATTTTTCCCAAATTTTTTACTATAAACGTATTGATTTTATAATTATTGATATATCTTTTAAGTCCTCCCTTTATCCACAGGTGCCTTCACCCTCTTTTTTTTTTCCTCTTTGCCATTTAATTTTTTGAAGAAACTGGGTCGTTTGTCATGTAGAATTTTCTCCATTCTGCATTTGGCTGATTGCTTCCCTGCAGTGTCGTTTAATGTTCTTCATCTTCTGGTGTAAACTGGTAATTTCTCAAGGCTTGCTCAGTATTCGATTCAGCGTGATAGTTCTTGTTCTTCCAGTGGCATCACGTCAGGAGGCATACCATGTTTGGTTGTCCTGTCTTTTATTAGTATTAAGATCAATCAGTGAGTTTGGTGTTTGTCTGATCCATTCATTCAGTGTTCCCCATCAGCTTAGCAGCCATTGCTGATCATTTCCTAAGTCCATTAATTCTTTAGGGATGGCAAAATAGTGATATCCTAGCATTCCCTCTTCCCTTAGGGCTGGAATTTTTCTATGAAGAACTTTTTTCATCACCTATATGATTACCCTAAGGTACTGTTTGTACAGAAAAGGCAGGAAAAATGATTGATTCTCTCCTTGTGCTTACTAGTTTTCAGAATGAGTTTATTCCTGGTGTTATCCAAAGGTGAACAATGAGGTTTTTCTTTTGTTTGTTTTAGTATCATTATAAACCTGTGGATTTTAATGTATTTGGTGTTTCCAGACATTGTCGTTTTAAAAATTTTATTTATTTTGATGCTCACATTGTCCCAACTTTAGCCAGTGGAAGTCTCTTCAAATTGGCTCCTGGGTCCTTTGGCAGTGACTCCAATAGTCTTTAATGGTTTCCTTGCTATTTAGTGTAACAAGCTGTTCTGGGCTTATTCTGCCCTTGATCTGGAATCAGCCACTTCTCTAAGGAACTCCATTTCCTTTTAATGGAAATGGTATTTAGAGACCACAATCTAAGTGCTAGGGCTACGCATTTGCTAATGGATTGATTATTGTTTTTAAGCCTTTTCAGTGGACTGTTAGGAAATATATTTCGTTTTGTTTTTTGTATTGTTAATAGAATATACACCATGAATTCAAATTCATATCCTTAATTCAGATTTGTAATTACAGGATTTTTTGTTTAACTTCTTGGATTTTATATTTCTGTTTTTTTAATCTGGAAATCTTGATTGCTAACAACATTGTTATTACTTAATTGATTTATAGTTTCAAGGTAACAATACCAATATGATTACTGAAAATAGTTGAAGATTTCTTTTCCCTTTTTACCCTTAGAATGTTTAGCTCACTATTTTCTAGAGAGTTTGGCTATCAGTTTGAATACACAGGTTTATTTGCTTCGTTCTCCTTTTGATTTTTAGTTATTGCTTTTTCAATTTTGGCTTAATTTTGTTTTGTGAAACTGTAAAACATGTATATGGTTTCAAAATTAAGTCTCTCAAAATTCTATCCCCTCCATCCCATACATAGAGGTAGCCCTCATTCCTATTTACAACTTGAGAGTGTTCCCTTTTAAGGAAATATAGCATAGTTTATTCAGTCAGTCCCCTGTTGATAAACATTTGGTTGTTTCCAGCATTTTGTGGTTATAAATAGGCAGCTATTTATTGACATCTGCTTCTTTGTTAACCCTTAAATTTGCCCCAGTAGGCAAACAATATCCTCTCAGTTAACTCTATAACTAAGTACCAGTATTTGGAACATTCAAAGACAAGATCTTGACTTTTATTCATCAGTAGGCCCTGTTTGAGCTCTGTGTGCCCAGCACATGGTCCTTAGCTGTGGGGAGTAGAGAAACACGTAGAAGTATCCCTGTCCTTAGGAGGTTTATAAAAGAATATAACTTGAAATAATTAGTTACCAATATAAGAAAAATAGCATTAAGGGTAGTAGAGTATACTGAATATTTTGAATGTTTAAAGATGGGAGAGTTAATAAAGATAGAGCTATTGGAAAATAATTTTCAGAAAGGCTTGAGATGACTCTTAATAGCTGGGTTAACATTTAGGTTATTCTTTCAGTGTCATCATTGCTTCTTCCTATTCAAGTAGGGAAGCATTTTAATCTTGGCTGCTTCCAGATCTCTTTATAAAAGGGCTTACTTCTGTGGTTGGGAGGTCATTTATTAGTTTCTATTACACTCCAGCATGTGGAGTCACAAGATGTGTAGTCGGATGGATGCCTTTAGGCCAGGCATAGAAACCCACCTGGAAGCTAACCTGCAGTGCAAGAGGCAGCCTAGTGCAGTGGATGCAGCCTGCAGCGTAAGGTACTGTTGTGTTTATTTTAATGCCTTAATGTTCCCCTCATGAATTTTCAGGCCGTGCTAAGAGACTTCTACCTGCCCTTGCCTTTGGCTTCAGCACTGATCTTAGTTGTAACTGAGGCATTCGTCTTTTGTGGAATTTCGTTCTGAGACAGGCTTTTATTCACCTCCTCATTTCTTGCTACTTTGGCCTGCTCAGTTTCAGGCAGTACACCCAGCAACCCAGCAACCAGTGATTGCCCAGTTCCCTGTGGTATCCCAAGGAAGCTCTCAACAGCAGCTGATACAGAACTTCTACCAGCAGCAGCAGCAGCAGCAGCAACAGCAGCTGGCCACAACCCTGCATCAACAACAGCTGCTGACTCAGCAGGCTGCCTTGCAGCAGAAGACCGCTGTGGCAGCAGTACAGCAGCCCCAGGCACAGCAGGCCACAGCCCCGCAACCACCCCCTGCCCAGGAGCCAGCAGTAAGAATCAGCCCGGGCTCAGAGTGCAAAAGCAGGAGAGGATCATGCAGTGAGGGCTAGGGAAAGGGCGGGAAAGAGGTGGCAGCACTGGTGAGGGGGCCTCTGGATTAGGGCTAGGCTGCTTCCCTACCCTTGTGGTTAAAATATTTGGTCTTTTGTTGATGTATCCAAGAAAAGGATGAGATACTCTATAGAAAGTAGAGGTTTTAAAAAAATGATTCTAGGCTACTGATGAAGATGAACATTATTTATCACTCTAAAATCAGGCTGACAGAAAGAGCTGTTCATTATCTCTGTCAGTGCCAGTGTTGAGCAGTCAAAGATCTAGACAGGTTTAGAGCTAATCTCTTTGCCTTCTTCAAGAAGCAGCTTGACCATTGTGGCCTTTCCAGTCTCTGGAGGTTCGTGCGGGCCCCCACCTTTACCCTGAGTCCCGACAGTGTTGTGTTTATTCTTTGTCTTGAATGACATTACACTACCTCATTTAAGTCTACCATGCAGCACCCTTCAAGGACCTGCTTGCTGGGACCATGTGCCATGGCCTAGTCCCTGTGGGCACCAGAACATCTGAGTAATGTTTGAGCCATTTTGTCAATTTAGAAATTGGGCATGTCCACTTCTGGATTTTGGCTGAGTATAGCATCAGAACCCCTATATCCTCTCCTGATTGACCTTTACAGCTTCAGCATCCTCAGGCACATTGTGCTGTAGCCTTTGTTAAATGCCCTTAATTCTGTTCTCATGTATTTCTGAGTGACAGTGATAGGAAATTTTATAGTGATAAAAAAAGGCATTTTATATACCCAGCCGATAGAGTATCATAGCCACTCTCTTATTCTCAGGGGAGTCCAACTACTAGAAGAATGAAGGAAAAGTAAGAAACCATCTTTCTGAGGATTGATTTCTAATAGAGTTTTGTCGCCCATCTTAAACCAGAAAACCTACATTCCTTCTAAAGGAAGCAGAGCCGTAAATAGATTGTCTTAAGTCTCAGCTAAGTATGTGTTCAGTGTCTTTACACCTTCCTTTAAGAAACAACTCAGCCTTCCTGCAGGTGTGCGGTAGACAGCTACTCTGTATTTTTAACAAGAGATAAAGTTCCTCTTGTTAATGGAAAAAGAGTTTTTAAAAAATTATTGGATGATGTAGTGAGTTAAGATCTTAAGTATCTAGTCCAGTCCCCTCATTTAATAGAATTGGAAACTGAGGCCCAGACTGGAAAGTGATTACCCCAGCCCCACAGACTGATAGCAGCAGAGCTGGGGCAAGAACCAAAGAGTCCTGATCTGTGTTCAAGGATAATCATAACAAGTGCCCATCCAGGGTGATGAAGTGATCACCTGCCACTGACTACACTGCTTATGAGGTTCCCTCTGCTTTCCCTGGACAAAAGTATCCATCCTCTTGGGAATGAATTATGAGACTTGTCCATGTTCCTTGCTTGAAAAAATACCTTGAGCACTTTGCTCAGGGGTAGTTGGTTGACGGGATGGAGAGGGAACAAGAGCAGAATGTGCCTCAGCCAGGAGCCAAAGAGCTTCTCAGCTTTGACCATCCCTTTCTCTGATGACCCTTAGCAGGACTTACCTAGAGAAGCAAGTGAGTGAATGTGAAGTATACCCTGCAGCCATCTTAAAGCAATAATCTACAAAGGGAAAATGGCCACATGCCATAGATGTTCATTGCCGTCTTATGGATAATAGCCAAAAGAACAGAAGCAACCTAAATCATTCAAGAACCCAACTATGCAGCCATTACAAATCATGATTATAAAGTTTGTACAACAGTAGAAAACACTCATGCGATAATATTAAAGAGATATGAAATTATGAGAAAAGTATATACTTGAAAAGAGACTTAAATATAAGATACCAAAATATAGAACAACTGTATTAGGCTGGCGGAATGAAGTCTGGGTGGTTTTCCCTCTCTTGTCTATATTCTTAAATTCCTTGATTTGATTGTATTCCTTTTACAATTATATATTTTGTTTTTTAAAAAAATCTTTAGCAAGACGGACATCTGAGTCTCCCTTGCTTCTCCTTCCCCCACGGTCTGTGTCTGACTCCTCCCCCTCCCTAATCCCATCTTTGGATGAGCAGGCATCACCGTGCAGAAAGAGTCTTGATCTGCAATCAGGAGATGCAGATTCTGTCCCCAGTTGACCCTGTGAGCTTGGGCAAGCAGTTAGCCTTAGGGGGCTTTGGTCTCATCTCCTCTAAAGCGAGAGAGTTGGAATTCAGGTTTTCTAAGGTTCTTTTCAACTTGCATTGTTCTTAGATTCTAAATGGAGATGAAGCTATCTGCCTGACAGGGTTGTTGTGAAGAGTAGTGAACAGGTCAGAGCTGCTTTGTATTAGTAGATTGCTGTGATAGGGAAAGTGTCCTCATAATGGAAGCGTCTGTTCTTTAGTGTGCTGCATGCAAAGAACAGGTAAGAGGAGGGGAAAATGTTCTCCAAGTAGTCGGGACTCTTCAAAATAAAGGAACTCAACAGCTAAGTACCCTTTGCAGAGTAATGAATGTCTTAAACTCCAAGAAATAAGCAAATCTACTTCTGTGCTTAAAGCCCTTCTGGTCGCTGTGGGTGCTGGCTTTAGGTTGGCTCTTAGAGGCACGGCACTGGACCCCTGATGGAAGTTGTGGCGCTGGAGTTGTGGTCCTCACAGAGACTCTGCTTCTCCCTAAGAGATGCAGTCAGCTCCTTTACCCTTCTAACCTTAGGCTGATTGATACTAGAAGCTTATATTGTATCCTTCAGCCTGTTGGTGAAGTGATGGTGTACTTACACATGCACCTAACCTGTCTTAATAAAATTCAAAGTCTGAATTAATATAAGGACAGAAAATCCCAGGCTGTCAGCATCTTGGCCCAAGGAGCTGGACCCTCTGGTTTCCCTCATCTCTCTCAGGACCTACCTTTGAAGACACAGAATGTGGGGACTGAGCTGCAGCCTGGAGGGGCAGCTCTAATCTGAGATGAGTGACTGGAGGGAAGGGATAGTTAAATACCTGAGGCATTTAGTATTCTAAGTTATTTTATCTCTGGATTGATAGAATTAAGGAAAAAGGTTAGGTGGCCTCCTTTTTTTTTTTTTAACGTTCTTATCTTTAATGATAATAATGACCTTTTTTTTTTTTGGTGAGGAAGATCAGCCCTGAGCTAACATCCATGCTAATCCTCCTCTTTTTGCTGAGGAAGACCGGCCCTGAGCTACCATCTATTGCCAACCCTCCTTTTTTTCTCCCCGAAGCCCCAGTAGATAGTTGTATGTCACAGTTGCACATCCTTCTAGTTGCTGTATGTGGGACGGGCCTCAACATGGCCGGAGAAGCGGTGTGTCAGTGCGCGCCCGGGATCCGAACCCGGGCCACCAGTAGGGGAGCACGCGCACTTAACCGCTAAGCCACGGGGCCGGCCCAGGTGGCCTTCTTAATATGATTTTTTGTTCATTTTCTTCATACAGCACTTTATAGATCATGACTTATGCTTAAAGACTAACCATCTGGCCACAAGGATATTCCCCCCTGTTTGTTTTCCTGTGGTGACAGTCTGTCCTGCCTTCTGAATGGCCCACGTCTCAAGAGTGCTTATGTTATTAGATCAGTCATCATCAAGGGCTTTTTAAAGTTTTTATTCTTTTGTGTTATTTTCTCCACCTGGTTCTTCAGTGCCATTTCCAAACTGAAGATTGGAACAAGTTAATCTCACTGCCCCGGTGCTATACATTTTCTCAGGGATTACCACAGAAGTAGAATCTTGTAGATCCATCCTATCAATGAAATAAAGAGCCATAATAATAACAACAACAAAAATGCACTACCATTTATTAATCATGGTGTAATTTTATCTAACTTATTCCTGAGTAGTAGTCTGAGCTGTGTCAGAGAGTCAGGGATCTCTAAGCAGAAATCATTCAGCTCAAATGTGTTTTATCTGGAGGTGTGCCTTCATTGGCTTCTGACTATAGTATTAGAATGCTTAAAGCCTGCCATGGAGGCATTCTGAATGAGTTCTTGTGTGACCTCGGAAGCAGAAGGTGGTCCTTTAGGATACATTCTAGATCATCTTTAGAGCTGGGAATAGCTTCTGTAGTCTTATGCTCTGGGTTGAATTGTATATGGTTACCCTGTATATTGTTGCTGATGAAGATTAAAAGTTATGGATAAGCACCAGATAAGTGCCATGTTGGTATCGGTCCCAAAGTTGCAGCTCAGATTTTCAAAGCCTAGTTTTTTTCTTTCTGGGTCTTATTGGTAAACTCAGCCATTTGAGTCCCATGTTGGCTTTCATGTGGCATTTTGGGTTATACTTGTCTGTTTATTTGTTTTTTCTCCCCTGCCTTTTTTTAGAACACTTTTCATCTCTCTTCCTAGCAGATTCAAGCCCCGGTGAGACAACAGCCAAAGGTTCAGACAACCCCACCTCCTGCCATCCAGGGGCAGAAACTCGGATCTCTCACTCCCCCGTCATCCCCCAAGACCCAGCGTGCTGGGCACAGGCGGATTCTCAGTGACGTAACCCACAGTGCAGTCTTTGGAGTCCCTGCCAGCAAATCAACCCAGCTGCTCCAGGCAGCTGCAGCTGAGGCCAGTCTCAATAAGTCCAAGTATGTGGTGCTTCCGTTTTATCCTTCTTACTTGTGTGAGCAAGGTCTGCTGTGGGCTGTTACTGTGTGATTCTTTGCATATGTATGTAGATATATATATAGTGGTGTAGATGTATATGTAGTGGTGTGTGTCTGGGTTTAATAAGAAACTGAATTTGCCTGTAGTGCATAAACCATACTGATCTTAAGAAATAATTTCCGGGGCCTGCCCCATGGCGTAGCAGTTAAGTGCACGCTCCGCTGCTGGCGGCCCGGGTTCAGATCACCGGCGCGCACAGATGCACCGCTTGTCAGGCCGTGCTGTGGCAGCATCCCATATAAAGTAGAGGAAGATGGGCACGGATGTTAGCCCAGGGCCAGTCTCCCTCAGCAAAAAGAGGAGGATTGACATGGATGTTAGCTCAGGGCTGATCTTCCTCACAAAAAAAAAAAAAAAGAAATAATTTCCTACTTGCCTCACTGTTTCCATTCTCTCATCCATTCCGTGCTCTACAGAGTATTTTCTAAACTCTTGATCTGACCAAGTCTCTCCATGCTGAAAATCTTTTGTTGGCTCCCCATTGCCTGAGGGATGATATCTGACCTCACTGGTAACAGACCAAGGCCTGTGGTAGCACAGTGGGGGACTTGCAGTTCTCCATCTTCACTTGTGCTTTGTCCATCCTACGCCCTCTCCTTTAACTGCCACTGTTCTTCCTCGTCCACTGAGGAAATGCTTATTTATTCACCAAGATCCATGTCAGAGGTTACCTTTCCTCTGACCCTTCCTCTAGTGTCATAGTTAATTTTGTCCGAACCCTTTTTTGAGTATGTATCACGCTGTATTATCATTATTTATTTGTAAGTCTGGCTGACTTAGCCTGTGAGTTCTTCCCAGACAAGGACCATGACTTAATCAACCTTTGTAAATCCAATGTACTGGCTCTGTGCCTGATATAAAGTAGACTGCAATGCGTGTTTGTTGAGTAAATGCAATTTCAGACCTTCACCTTTCTTGGAACCATGCACTCTAAAGTTAAAAATCTTTAAGTCATTAGCTAAATGCAAAGGGCATCAAGAGAGACTTTGGAAGAAAATTAGGTAATGATACCTAGAAGCACAAGACAGTGGTAACTGTCTTTATTTCTCTTTAACTGTGATGATGACCACTGATGGTGGTCCTTAATTCTATGCATGCTAGATCCTGATGGATGGGAGGGAGCCTGAATAGGCATCAGTCCCAGCCCCTCTGGGGTCAGTTATTATGGATGTTACGGTGGGCACTACAGGATGCACAAGCCTAAGAACAGGTTGCTTTGGGATCCTGAATTGAAAGGACTTGCAGACAAGACCAAAAATCTAAGCGAGAGATTAAAGAAGTAGTGGGAGATAGTGAATCAGGAAGGAAAGGGAGACATTTACTTCACACAGTGTAAAGGATGTCTTTGGAAACTGTTCACTTGCCATGGAAAACCCTTTTAGAAAACCATTGTGGAAGATAATGGTTTGACTCGGAAACAATTTGATCTTGAAACAAGGAGAAAATAGGTTGACTCTTTTCAACTTTTATATGTCTTTTTATTTCTCGGGGGTGGGAACCTTTCTAGGTCTGCAACCACCACCCCATCAGGCTCTCCTCGGACCTCCCAGCAAAACGTTTATAATCCTTCAGAAGGTTCTACATGGAATCCCTTCGATGATGACAATTTTTCCAAACTGACAGCTGAAGAACTACTAAACAAGGACTTTGCCAAGCTGGGGGAAGGTGAGTAATTGGCATCTTTTTGTGATTCTTGAACCTTAACTTTAGAGGAGTATGCATGTGAAAAAGTGGGCATGGGTCTTCTTTCCCTCAAAGGCTTGATTTTGAAGTATGAGTGCAAATTGCTTTGTACGTTTACGAGAGTACTGAAGTCTTTTCATCCGCAGGAAATCCTGGCCTGTTGTGGATGGTGACAAGGAGAATGGGAAACTTTTAGGAAAGATTCGGTAGCATAGATCAGAATGGTAGTGTCGAGCATGGTCACTTCCTGGAGGAGTGTGATGGTTCCCTTGTCCTAAGTGGATTTATTGTCCCAGAAAGTTGTGACTGCTTACCCATGAGAGTGTGCCCTCACTGAATCTTTGACTGTGATCAGAGTTCTCTATTACTGTTGACTGATCATGGAGAGGAGATCAAATAAATAAAAGTTGCCATTTCTGCCCTCCAACCCACAGTCTGATTTGGGAGGCAGGATACACAGACGCAGGAAAACAACTGGTCACACCCTGGGAAAATTCCACAATGTGATACAATTTGAAAAGAGTTCCTCAGTGTAGACAAGCGCACACGGTAAAGGAATGATTAGAACTGAGTGAATTGGGCCGGCTCCGTGGCTTAGCGGTTAAGTGCGCGCGCTCTGATGCTGGCGGCCCGGGTTTGGATCCCGGGCGCGCCCCGAGGCACCACTTCTCCGTCCAGCGCGAGGCCGAGTCCCACGTACAGCAACTAGAAGGATGTGAACCTATGACATACAACTATCTGCTGGGGCTTTGGGGGGAAAAAATGAATAAATAAAATCTTTAAAAAAAAAAAAGAACTGAGTGATATGAACTTTGACCAAACATTTAGCTTTAACCATTATTTTACAGATATCTTTTAAAAGTCCCTATTACTTTCTTGCCTTTTTAAACAGAAGATAGGGCATAGGATTTAACTTTCTTTGACGACTTGTTGTCAAATTGTTTCATTGTTATGTGTGCCAGTTATTGTTCTAGACTATAAACAGAAATACCTTCATGGACTATTGAAAAATGTGGTATTTTTGCACTCAATTAAGTGACCCCCCCCCAAGGTTTTTAATTCTTGTGTCTGTTTTCAATAACTTCCTACCTCTCTTCTTCTTGTTCAGCTGTTAGCTTTCACTTGAAGCTGCTGTCATTGTGCCTGTCCCTCAGAGCCTCTCACTACTGCCATCTCCACTGCTCTCTCTTCTCCTTTGCCCCCTACCTGCTTCCAACATGGAAAACAGATCAGCAAACTCCTTAGAATTATATAAAAATAAGTGGATTCAGAGTGAGGGCTGGGAGCATTCTGCCCTGAGTAATGTGCTTGAGCTTTAGGGCTTAGTTCTAGCTGTCTCTTTCATTGTTTTTTATTTATTTTTAATTGTGGTAAAATATACATAACATAAAAATTACCATCGTAAACAGTTTTAAGGGTACTGTTCAGTAGCGTTAATTATATTCACACTGTTGTGCAACCGATCTCCAGAACTCTGTTCATCTTGCAAAACTGATATGCTGTCTCTTTTGATTCTTAAGACTTCCTTCCTTTTCTTGGCTGTTCTCTCAGTTATTGCACTGACTAGATGAAGATCTCTGACTAGCCGAGGTGTTGCCATAATGCAGTAAAAGCAGTCAAGTCTAGGAGTCAGTTCAGACGGTGCCCTTGGGATGCATCACGGGATTCTGCTGGAATGAACTGAGTGGTGTTTTGTCCCTCCAGGCAAACATCCTGAGAAGCTTGGAGGCTCAGCTGAGAGTTTGATCCCAGGCTTTCAACCAACCCAAGGCGATGCTTTTACCACTGCCTCATTTCCTGCTGGAATCGGTTAGTATGGCAAACACCTGAAACACGAGACTCATTGTTGTCACCTTCACAGGTTTCCACCTGACAGCATGCCAGTGAGCCCCAAATCCTGGTAACTTGTATTTTCCCTCGAAAGAGTTCCAATAAAAAAGATAGGGATAAAGAGTGATCTAGAATCACTTTGAGTTAAAATGACAGGATGATCTGGCAGCAATATACAGGATTTATTCTCTCTAGTCCACGGACATGTTTTGAGCAAATATTTCTAAATTTGAGGAACATCTCTCTGTTAGTCTCTTGTAATTGCTTAGTTTCTTTGGAATGACTTGAGTTCTAAGAATTAGATGTTCTGTCCTATATCTGAGACTCTACTAAGCTGTGTTTTTGTGCTTACGGAGAGAGAGAGGTATCTTTTTAAATGAGACTTTTTAATAAAAATTATAGAAGCAATAATAAACTAATTTTCCATTTTATTAATAAAAATTATACGTGTTTATTATATAAAAGTTAGTAATTTATAGAAAATCATAGAGAAGAAAGTTAAAATCTCCTTGATCTCACCACTGAGAAATTAGCACAGGGAGCCCATTTTGATGTCTGTTAGTGGCATTTAACCTTTCTAGGGTTACAGATATCTTTGCGAATCTAATGAAAGTTATAGATCTTCTCCCTCACAAAAATATATGTGACCACAATTTTGTACACACTTTTTGGCCTCAGCTTGAGACTATAATGTGCATCTTTATAGTCATATTTTAAAATCTAATTTTTTCACTTGATAAATCTTGCACGTTTCCCCCACATCATTAAAGATTTAAGCTCCTAAAATATAACTTTAAAAATACCTGCATTAAATTCTTTTATATGGATATATCCTAATGTATTTAACCAAGTATCTCTTTTTAAACATTAATTTGATGTCAGTGTTTTACCATTATAAATTCCTCAGCAATGGATTTGAGGTTTTGAATATATTCCTTGTAAGATATGGAATTTGATATACTTCTAAAATTAATCTTTTTAACTATATTGATTAATTTCTGCTTTTACCCTTATATGTTCTTTCTTTCTGCTTTCTTTAGGTGTGTAAGTAGTTTTTCTAACCTCATAAATTTATTTCTAATTAGAACTTTGGCTGTTACTCCATAATGTTTTATATGTCATGCTCTCTTATTCTCATTGTTTTCTGGATGTTTTTAAATTGCAGTTTTGATTTTTTCTTTACCGAAGAGTTACTTAGGATGTATTTTCATTGAGTTGTGATAATATGGCCTATGCAGTTTTTGCTTTTGGGTATTATGGAGGAGCTTTCTGTAGCCTAATTTATTATTCATTTTATGAATGTTATATGGGAATTAGTGGTTTTCCATGTCAACAAATAGTAATCTACAACATGATTTTTAATGGAAGAATAGTAACATTGTATTGAATGTCCCCTTTGATGAATATTTAAGGCGTTACTAGTTTTTCACCATATAAACGTTCTTGAAACTAAATTTTTCTTTATATCCTTTACAGTTTCTTTAAGATAACTTCTAGGAGATTATTTGCTAAATCTAAGGATATGTGTATTTTAAGGCTTTTGGTACATATTTCCAAATTGCCCTCCAAGAATGCTATACAAATTTTTTTTCCATCAACCATGAATAAGAATAATTTTCCCCTCATTTCCCCACTCAGCCCAGCTCAGAGGCTATAGACAGGACATTCTTTACTGGCCATTTTTATTTCTTTTGGGATTTGTATTGTTCATGTCTTTTGGCCTTTTTTTGTTTTGTTTTGGGTTTTGTTTTGTTTTTTTATGTTCTGTGTTCATTTGTTCTTATTAATTTGTAAGAGCTCTTCATATGTCATATATTGTAAACATTTTTCCCAGTTTATCACTTGTCCTACACGAGTATTATCTCATCTGACCCTCTCAACAATGCTTTGAGGTTGCTGTGCCATCCCCACGTCGGTTACAGTTGAGGTTACTGAGCCCAGATTACTCTCTTTCCAGGATCACATAGATAGTAAGTGACAGAGCTGGGACACCAACCCTCTGGCTCTAGAACTTCCTCTCTCATGTTTTCTGCCACATAATGAGGCAAATTTAGTTATATTTTCCTAGAAAATCATCTGCAGTTTTAAATTTTTAAAAATAAAATAGAATAGGGGGCCGGCCCTGTGGCTTAGTGGTTAAGTGCACACACTCTGCTACTGGCGGCCCGGGTTTGGATCCCGTGCGCGCACCGACGCACTGCTTGTCCGGCCATGCTGAGGCAGCGTCCCACATACAGCAACTAGAAGGATGTGCAACTATCACATACAACTATCTACTGGGGCCTTGGGGAGAAAAAGGGGAAAAAAGGAGGAAGATTGGCAATAGATGTTAGCTCAGGGCCGATCTTCCTCATCAAAAAGAGGAGGATTGGCATGGATGTTAGCTCAGGGCTGATCTTCCTCACAAAAAAATAAAATAAAATAAAATAGAACAATGCATTTAAATCTTTTATAGTATTTCTTTGTATATAACAATTTTAATTGTATGTATGTGTATCTCTTTTTCTCGGTAACTCTTAACTAGAGATCTGCTGTTTATTACCTTTCAAAGATAACTCTTAGATTTATAAAATCTCCTGTTTTTCTGTCTTCTGATTCTTTAACTTTTGCTTTTATCTTTTTGGTTATAGTTCTCTGTTTTTCTTAGGTTTGGTTTGTCAGTATCAAGAGGAACACACAGTAAAATTTTTAAAAATTCTTTAAAAAAAAAATAAAAGTATTTACAGTGTTTCTCCCAGTAAAACAATAATTTTCAATCATCATGAGAGTGGGGAAGGTGGCTAATTATAATCCCCAGGAGGACTTTTTCACAGATATTCCAATATTCCCTTTTCTCCTTCTCCCTCCGATTGCCACACCACCCCAGCCTTTGAAGATTACACTGTTTATTGAGAGTGCTTTCTAATAGGTGTGTGTTTCCTTCGTTAGAAAACAACTGAAATTTTAACCATATCCCATAAGTCTGCGTATGATGTTCTCATTGTTATTATTTTGGAGTAGGCATTGAAGTTATTTGGGAGTTATGCTTTTTAATATTAAATAGTTAAACATTTTTGGTGTGTTATTTTTCATTTTTAGCTTTGTTTTCTGGTCTGTATAATATTTAAATTTATTGATATTTTGGTCTAGTTTAAAGTGCTTAAAGTCTGATATGCCACATAGTTGACTAAATGTACCAGATGTGTAAAGCATTGACCATTGTCCCTGAGGTAGAACATCAACAATGATGACCAACTATGGTGCTGGGTAGGAATTAGTTTCCTTGGAATGGGGGTCATGAAATAAGCTCTAGGAGAGTCTTCTTTGCTACTGAATCCCAGCTTTTAGTACAGTGTTTGGCTCAGTACACGTCTGTTAAATGAACGAAAAGGGTTGCTTGTTGCCAAAGGATAGGAGCTTGGATTCACCAATGTTGATGACAGAAGTCCCTAACCATTTTTCATCCACTCCCAGGTTTAATGCCTAATTCTTACTTATCACACATGGTTATGTTTTGTTGTTTGTTTGTCTGTATGAGCTGTTTTATAGAGAGTTGTTTTGTTTTTGCCTATTCTCCCTCTTTATGCTTACTTTGAAGGCTGTAAATGGCAGTATTTTTTTTAAGGGACTTAAAGATCCGGCCATAAAAAGACACATATTTGAGTAAAGTTATGACAGTAATAACAATGAACATGTACTAAGACATACTACAGGCTAAGCCCACTGGGTAAGTGCTTTTTTGCATGTTATCTCAGGTGATCCTCATGATAGCCCATGAGAGGTTAAGTGACCTGCCCAAGGTCACAGCTGGAAAATGACAGAATAGGGATTTGTACCTGGACAGCCCAGCTCAGAAACTGTAGTCGTTACCATATCTCCAGTATCTTGTAAATCGGTGGCATTAAATTTTTACAAACATTATAAAATGTCTTCATTTTATCCAGCCTTTTTTAATGAACACTTGGTATTTTGCCTTCTTTCTTGTTAGAGATGTGAAGATTTTTTTTTTCTGTGACATCTTCATTCTTTCCACATGAAAGAAAATTATATCTAAATCCCAGAAATTAATATGTCCTCATTTTCTGCAAGTTTTCTAATCAAGCTCAGACTGCTCACTGATTTTAAACCTTCTTACCAACCAAGGGAAGAAATAAGCAGGAAATCTGGTAATGAATCAGAGAGGATGGCACAAGGATTATTTTAAACATTTTTATGTTAAAAGCTGCAAAAGTGTTGATGAACTGTGCCCATATATTGGAGGCAGATGTTTAAAATTTGACATTGTGCCACTTTATTTAAAATAATTTTCTGTTGATAAGTTATACATATTCATTTGTGAAATTTTGGAACAATGGCTAGAAGCAAGATAAAAGAATTCATGACCCCACTCTAAGAGGAAAGCATTGCTGACAATCTACAATATTTATATCCATAATTTCATTTCTGCATACACACTTTTTTCAAAAATGAATTATACTATATATTCAGTTTTGTAATTTGTTCTTTTTCATTTATCTTGTCTTATTTAAAAATGTTTCAGACACTTAAGAACAACGATTTTACCCTTCTCTTCCTCCATCTACCTTGAAAGAAGTTTGAAAACCCACTTCAATAACATCCTTGAAATGACAAAATTATAGAGATTGAGAACAGATTAGTGGATTCCAAGAAATGGAGACAGGAGTAAGGAGTGGGTGTGATGATAAAGGAGTACAACAAGGGAGTTCTTTTGTTTGGTGAAGCAGTTCTGTATCCTTGTTGTGGTGGAATTATAGTCTATACTTAGGATCTGATTGCAACGAACTATACACACACACACACACACACACACACACGCACAAATGGGCGCATGTGAAAAGTGAATAAAATCTAGTTAACGGTACTGTACCAGTGTCAGTGATATGGTACTACAGTTGTAGAAGATCTCACCATGGAGGGAAGCAGGATGAAGGGTTCATTCGACTTTATGTACACCAGCTTCCTATGATCTATAATTCTTTTAAAATAAAAAGTTTTTTGGGCCGGCCCCGTGGCTTGGTGGTTAAGTGCGCGCACTGCAATGCTGGTGGCCCGGGTTCGGATCCCGGGTGCGCATCGAGGCACCACTTCTCCGTCCATCCTGGGGCCGAGTCCCACGTGCAGCAACTGGAAGGATGTGCAGCTATGACATACAACTATACTGGGGCTTTGGGGGGAAAAAATAAAATAAATAAAATCTTTAAAATAAAAAGTTTTTTAAAAATCCACTCTATAGAAGGCAAAATGAAATTTTAATTAGTGAATAAACAATATTAAAATGCAACATAAAGAAATCAGGAGACTTGAGTTCTGATCCTGGATCTGCTGGTGGACCTCTGGCTAGTCTCTTAACTTCTGGGCTTCATTGTCTTTTCTGGAAAATAAAACAATTGTGCTAGAAAATCGTATGATCCCTGTAGGCTCTGATATTCCATAGGGTGTATAAGTTTGCCAAATATAGAAGGAATGCCAATAGTGTGTTAGATGTAGTCCAGAGGTTAGGGTTTATCGAACCTTGCAATAGGCAAGAAGTCTGTTTCTGTCTCTTCCTGTCTATCTGCCTCGAACTATATTAGACATTTGGTGATAAAATGACCTCAGGAGGGTAATGGGTACCTATATACATGTGCTAGATTACAAAATAGACAATGTTTGTTTACATGCCAAAATGTGTCATATGGACAGTAATTGCTATTGGAATTCTGAAAGAGATCACTGTAGGCTTCCACACAAGGAAAAAGTGGAATTTCAGATGTATGAATATCCTAGTTTTATCATTAATTGCATCTTAAAATACATTGCAAGGACCAGATTATACATCTCATAGATATTTTGCCATCACATTGGATTATATCCACTTATCCCTTTTTATTCTGCCTCGGAGTTTAGACTTACTCTATAATTTGAGCTTTTGGGTTATTAGGTGGTAAATTCATCTAGATTTACTTGCTGTTTTCTGCTTTTCTCTTTTTCTCTCCTTGACCCTTCCTTTCCCCTCTAACCAACTCCAGCTGAAAAAAGGAAGGGTGGGCAGACTGTGGATTCTAGCCTCCCACTTCTAAGCGTATCTGATCCTTTCATTCCTCTTCAAGTACCTGATGCACCAGGTAGGTAAATAGAACTGGTCTGAGGTTAAGTAGCTTGATTCTTATGTCCCAAGGCCTCTTGAAAGTTGTTTTAAACACTCCATGAGAAGGATCTGGATTCCAAGCCCTGGTAATAGGTGCTGTTGTGTATTTTTACTGTGTCTAGTAAGAGGGGCAAAATTCTCTTGGAAGGCGCCAGTCCTTAGTAAAGATAGTAAAATCAGTTCAAGTTACACTGAATTGTATTCCACTTTATATCAGTGTTCAGTTTTTTATCCTTGACTGTTATTGGTAATGTGAAGGTCCTGTGTGTTGGGAAGAACATTAGTCTAATATGATTGATTATGACAACGTGGGGGGAAAATCGTATAAGATGTGATAGAAGGAACAAAATGCTATTGGTGGTTATAGTATGATGATTGGACTACGGCTGACTTCCTGTCCAGTTCCTATTTTCCTATAATGTGCTTTTATTTTATTATATAAAAATATATAATAGAAGTTGATAGAGAATGTGAGTTGGGAGACCTAGGTTCCCTTCTTGGCTGTTCCACTACCTGAAAACTTTCTGGGCTTGACTCTTCAACAGTGAAGTAAATTGAACTGCATGAGTTCAAACATCCCTTTAGGTCTACCATATCCTGATTTTCAATAAACAGTCTAAAAAAGTAAGGAATGGTTAGTGTGTTCTGGTTGAAGCAGCTTTTGAAACAATAATTGGATGCTTTCCATACGGAGTTCATGAATGCCAAAGATTTCTCTTCCTGCTCCCCTCCCCATCCTTGTGGGGAGAGGGGGAGCATGATGTGAGGAACAGAAGCCGCCCGTTGTCTTTTCTATCAGTCTCTTTGAAAAAGCAAATAGATCCAACTCCTTAGAAGCAACTGGTGGTCATTTTGCTTCTGATAGTTTTTCTTTTTTTCCTATTCTTAGTCCTGCCGATTCTTGATCTTAAACTGTGATAGGATCTATTTGGTTTTTCTTTTTTCCCAAAATGTTAAAGGTATTTGATTGATTGCCTCAAGACTGGAAGTGCTTATGATGTTCATACCCTCTACTTACTAAGACAGATTGCAGCTAGGATACCAAGACAATTTTTATTTCTTTAGGCAATTTGTTGACCCTTCCAAGAGGAAGCAAAAACTTGCCTTGATCAGGTAGTATTGTGTAACGTTATAGCTTGCTGGACCTGGATGTAGTTCAAAAATATCTAAAATCCCTGAGGAATGATTCCTTGTAGGATAGTTAAAGAAAAGGGAAGAGAGGAATCGAATAGAGGCCCTTTTCTCTGTTGCATCCTTCAGGTATGCCTGGCGGTGCCTAGACAAGCTGGTTTCAAACAGAAGGCTGGACAAGTATGGGCTGCAAACTCAAGCCGGGGCCTACTGGCCTCCTTCTCCTCCCTGTTGTGGCAGTCATAGGATCAGACAAGAAAAAGGGATTATCGAGGCATTCTTCTTTTGACACCCCTTCAGCTTCTTGGTTTGCTCTTACCCAGATAGCCCATGGGCTGTGGAAGCTGGAAGGGTGGCCTCTTGACACAGGCCAGATGATAAGGACCCACAGGCAAGTAGTTGTCCTCTGCAGCTGTCACAGGAGCCCTCTGGATCACGGGTGGAGAGCCAGGCACACACACCAGGCGGCTCAGGATATCAAGTCCAGATCGTAGAGATGAGTTATGTAGGGTTGTGAAGATGGGCCTGGGAGGCACCAGAGCCAGCTCGCTGCCATCCTGCTTTCCTTATTGTCATCTTTCCTGTCTTCTGATCCTCTATATTTCTCTCATTCTAGCAGATTCCTGCTAAAATATTACTGGTATACACTTTAATACCAATTAAGCCATGACACCTCTTGAATTTTAATGAAAAATCTATTAAAATGGAACATTCTAATAGAGAATTCCAGGAGTGTCTTATTTGCTTTCTGATCTGTCAGACCAGACTCCCCTGTTGAAAACAGAAATCAGACATATCAATCCTTTGCATGCCAGTGAATTCCTGTATCAGTGAGCATAAAATGCACACTCCTTATCATGACCTGCAAGGCCCTAACTGATCTGGCCCTTGGCTACTCCTCTAACCTGAGTTCATAGCATTCTTCCCAACAGACTAAGCTTGTTTCCACCTCAGGGCCTTTGCACTTGATGGTACTCTACCTGGAAAGCTTTTCCCCCAATTCTGTTCCTTCTTGTCATTCAACATTTGGGTCTCAGCTTAAGTGCTGTCTTCTCAGAGAGGCTCAGCATGGTCCCACAGGCACTCTCAATCACACTCCCTGGCTTTTTTCTTCATAGCACTTATCATGACGTTGTCTGTTTTCATTTGTTCGATGTCTGTCTTTCCCCACCAGAATGTCAGTGTCCTGAGGGAGGGACCTTGCTGTCTTATTCTCCACTGTATCACCAGTGCTGAGCACATGGCCGGATAGAGTCAGCACTCAATGAATATTTTCAGATTAGATGAGTGAATGAAGTAAAACCTGAGGATGAAAGGCTTTCAGCAGCCTCACTACTCTCTATTTCTGTCCCCAACTCCCAAACACCAGACTACTGGTTCCATAACCTTCCATCTGTGCTTCTGCCAACCCCCAGCCAGGCCTTCCACGCCCTCTTTGAGGGTGTATAAATGAAGGCACAGCCCACAATGTCAGGAAGCTGCCAAACCCTGGGATGAAAATGGTAGCTAGGCTCAGCAGATTCTTCAATTCCTGCCTTTCATGGTGCCCTCCTGAATTTGGGCTAGGTATGGCATTTCCACTGTGTCTTTGATTATTTTATTTATCTTAATGTTCAGCCTGTGACGCCACTCAGTTATATAGCTTTGTTATTCAAGGCCCCTACATCCTTCCTTAGCATCTTGAAATGCCTGAGTAAGGGTCTCTAGTGCCTTAGCAAACTGCATATTTGTCTACTCTTCTCTTGCCCCCTCAAAGCAACCAGTTTGTCACTACCTCCAGCCCACTATGGGCACCAGTCAGATTTGTTGGTTGGTTGGTTGGTTTTGCATACTTGCTACCTTCCACACTCGGCCTTCCTGATGGTAAGAATCATGAAATCTTAGTCTCCTGACAACTATGTGCCTTTTTAAATAGCTTTAAAAAGTGCTTCTTGGTTTATGGCACTGCATCATCTCTTGACAAGTAGGCAAGAGAAGCTGTGTTTTCTTAGTGGTTTGTTGTCAAGATAGGCATTCCTCTCAAAGCTGTTGGCCTAGCATCTTCCTCACTTCCAGCCTTATAATAAAAAGTCCAAGGTCGATCATCGTATGTCTTTACTCTGGAAAGTTGATCTTCCTGCAGATTCAGTTCTCTAAAATGAACTTGGAATGAGGCATAGTGGTTGACTTTTGCTTCCAACTTGCAGATGTCACAGATGAGTTAGTGTCTGGTGTCTCAGTGATAGGAACTATTTAGAGGGACTAGCTTTTAAAAACAGCATGTCTCATCACAAGATTTCAGGGCTTACACCCCAAGTCAGACAGGATTTAAATTTCTGAAGCCACAAAGCTGTAGCGGCCAAATCACCTGTTCTGATGGGGCTCGTGTTTGTTAGTTCAGCTTGCTCTACTCCTCATGCTCATATTCTTAGGGTCAGAGTGGGCCTTGTTCAAGCCCTTTGTCTTATTAGCTTGTATAAATAGATGGCTTTCCTCTCTTTTGATATTTTAAAAGAGAAAAAGCTCACAACTTGCAGTACATCAGGAAGTGGTTTTGATTATCTAACCTTTGACTGATATATGAAGGATTTATTACTTTCTTGCCTTGTGGTTGATATTTTTAATAACTAAGTCTTGAGAGGAGATGTATAAGAGAAAGAATCTGAAAAGTGGCTTAATTCCTATCTCCAACTCGAGCAACCTCCTTCCGTCTTCCCCCAGTCCCCAATGCCACTTGAGTTATGTTTAAGAGGAGAGGGGGAGGGGTTCAGAAGAGAAGACCCTTTCTCTCATCTCCCCCCTTAATTTCGAAGTACTAACAATCCTCTTCTTTAAAAGCACTCTCAGTTTCCATTGTCCAAGCTAACTAATTCTGCATCCGTTTTTCTTCAGGGGTCCACCTCCTCAGTCCTTTAACCATGATTTCATCACTTCTCCAAGCTCTTAACCTCACTCGTTTTTATCTAGACCCTAGAGACTTGAGAAAGAACTGAGTACAGTAATGGGAGTGTGATAAGAAAACGCCACTAAGTGAAGAGTACGAGCAGACAATTCATAAAAGAAGAAATAATTATAAATTACCAGTAAATATATTTTTTTAAAAGTTCGTTATCATGATGAATCCAAGAAGAGCCAATTATAAATCAATGAGATGCTGCACCTTCTGCTTTCAGATTGGAAAAGATGAAAAAAACCCATCACCTCAGGCTTGGTGAAGGTGTAAGGAAACAGACATGCTCAGATCTGGCTAGTGGGAATATCAATTAGTACAAGTTTTGGGGAGGACAGTATAGCAGTTTATAACAAAGGCCATTAGTGGCATTGGTGGTATAGTGGTGAGAATAGCTGCCTGCTACAGACTTTTAAGATTTTACTTTCTCTTTGACTTAGCAATTTTTTTCTAAATAATTATTCTAAGAAAACATGTATATGCTTAAATATTTATTGAATGATGAGAATTTATAGGAAAAGATTGGAAGAGTATTCATTAAAAACTCTTAATAGTGGGTATCTCTTGAAGTGAAATTATGGGTAGTTTTTACTTTTATCCTTTGGCTTCTCTGTATTTCCTAAATTTTCTGCAATAAACATGTATTACTTTTGTAATAAGGGATCAAACCATAGAAGTTTGTTCTTTTTTTGAGCAAGGAGCTGACTTAAATATTCCCCCACCTTCTCAGCCTGTTCTCCTGGCTGTGCATGTCTGGGCTGAGTTTGCATGTTGAACAGCATGTTGAGTCAGCTCTGGATTTTCCAAAACCTGCTACCTTGGGCCCAGTCATCTTATCGCCTGCCCATGTCGCCAAAGTGCCTCCAGTGTCCTTCCCTGCAGTTATTACCAGTTCAGATCTCCAGTTTCATTTCTAAGCAGTTCATCTTCTAAGCAACTGGTTCCTACTTCCTATTTTTCCCTTCACGTTGGATAATTGACTTTTAGAGGGGATAGAACCTTTCAGTTTATCTTCATATTTTCTTATCAGTAAGAAAACTTAGATCCAGAGAGAGACAGTGATTTGCCCAAAGTGCCACACAAACTTAGTGCAGGACCCAGGTCTTCTGTCTCTTAGTATCTTTTCCTCCTCCCTATGCGACCATGCTGCCTCTTCCTCACATTTCACTTTATTCGAGGAATTTGAATAATGCTTATTCTGACCTCATTCCAAGGCAGTTGAGTAAAATCTGGAACTCCATTCATTTTCACTACTGCAGTCTCAGGCATCTGTGCCTTCTTGGTGACCCTCACCTAGTCCTCTTACTTAAAAGAGAAGTTAATCTCCTTTTATGTATCAAGCACTTTAATTTATACACACACAAATTAATTCTGATAAATATGCCCATTTAATCCTGACAACTCTTTTTTTTTTTTTTTCCCTAAAGCCCCAGTAGATAGTTGTATGTCATAGTTGCACATCGTTCTAGTTGCTGTATGTGGGACGCGGCCTCAGCATGGCCGGAGAAGCGGTGTGTCGGTGCTCACCCGGGATCCGAACCCGGTCCGCCAGCAGCGGAGCACGCGCTCTTAACCGCTAAGCCACGGGGCCAGCCCCCTGACAACTCTTTAAAGTAGTTTTTATCCTCTATTTACAGGTGAGAAAACTGATGCTTAGAAAAATTAGATAACTTTCACTTAAATTCGGGCTCTTTTTCTCTTTCATGTTGCTTATTTAGTGTTTGGGAGTTTGCAGACCCCAGCTAAAGTCCCTAAAATGTACAGCATCTCAATAAAAGATTAAATAATAGCCTCCCCAAGTCCAGGTATTCTCCCCAGCACACACACAACACATATTTAGATTCTGAAACTAGTTCTGAAAATATCAGAGACAGCCCAGGAACTGGACCATTTTCTTCTATCCAGAATTGCCCACTATCTTTCCCATGTACTGGAATAGGATGGCGTCACGGACTTGTGACTCTCACACAAAGGAGATGGAAAACTCTTGAAAAATGTTTCTTAGGAAGATTAAATCATTGCAAAATGAAATTTATGAATTATTTCTGGGTTTTACTGGCCTGTCACCTTGTATAATTGAGAATTAGAGCCTGAATCTTTGTACATTTTAGGTGTGAACTATCCCAGAAGGTGGATTTTACTTTTGCATCCAGAGAAGCCATTTCCCATGATTCATGTAAAATTTTTAAAAATCTTTATTTATTAGATATCGTTAAGTTGTGATATGCCGATGTGGAGCTTGATCGAGGTTTTGGATCTTAAATAACACTTCTTGCACAGTTTCCTATATTCACCACCCACTTCTTGCACCCTCTTTCCTATATTCACCACCTGCTGCTCTCCCCTACCCCCCCCCGCCCCTGCATCATGATACATGGCCTCAGAGTGTTTTTATAAAACTGTAGGAGAGGGGACAGAATTCATAAAATGGAGAATATCAAGGCTAGCCCTTGATGTACATAGGAGGCCTCCAGGCTGTGATTTATAGACTTCAGTCTCCTGTAGCCTTTCTTCTGCCTCCCATTACATCCTGTTCTCAAGTTCTTCATTTACAGTGACCGAAAATGACCTATAATAGCTTTAGATGTGACTTCTTCTATTAGTGTATACATTTTAAAGCAATCAAAGCCTTAGTTAAACCAGAGGAATGAATCTCTAGTGCATCGAAGATCCGGGTTCTAGTCCTAGCTAGCTCTGTGACTTACTTGCTGTAAGCTCTTAGACAAGTTGCTTTACATTTCTGGAGGTGGTTTCTTCATCTGTAAATGAGAAGGCTAGTTGAATAAGAGCCGAAGTTCCTTCCAGTGCCGACGTGTCTTTGATAACTTGACCGTTGTGCATGGGACTGTGTCTGTGTGAAGACCCTTTCTCGTATGTTGATGGAGATAGGCAGATCCTGTAGGCAGCATGTGGAGGGAATTTGAAGTCAAGTCCAGGCTCTACCATGTTCCTTTGGGCAAGTCACACATTCTCAGGCTCTGATCTCCATTCTTCTCAGCTCAACCCATGGTTTTTGTGAATAATGAATGAAAATGTTTGACATTAAACTCTACAGATGTAAGTGATGACTGTTGTTATAATGGTACCTGGGCACCAGCACTGAGTAACCGAGAGCCTTCTGTCACTTTGAGAGTCCTGGAAGTGAAAGAATCTGTTTTTGCACGTGCTATCCACCTTACTTGTGCTGTGGCCCTGTACTCTCACTCCTAGGTTTCTGCCTGGTGTTACTCTATCCCCTGCTCCTCCCTCCCACTGTCCCAGTATTTGAGTATTCCGAAGGAGCAGTGACCGTACAGAGTACCTGTGTGAATAGCCCATTACTTTGAGGTTTGATGAGAAAATAAGCCTCCCTAAATTTGGCAACTTACCCCATCCTCACCCCATTCCATCTCACTGCACAACACATGTACACACTCATGCCCACACATACTTTTTTACCCTCTCACATGCTTTTTGCTAATGGCTAATAAAATAATTAGATTCTTGTTGAAGTACCCGACGTTTTCCAGTTGATCCTCTATTCTCCCTGCCTCCCCGTGAAGCCAAAAGGCAGAGATATGACATAGAGTATGAGAGGGAACCGAGAACTGGGGGTACAGAGATTAATAAGACACCTTCCCTGCCTTCAGTCATGTTGTAAGCGCTGCCAGAGAAGTGAGTGCAGAGTGCTCCAGAAGGTCCCTGATGTGGCAGGGAGGGTGAGGAAAGGCTTAGAGGAGATGATACTTGAGTGACCAATACAAAAAGGTGGGGGGAGGTATCTCCGTTTTACAGTTGAACAGGTAATGTCAGAAGTTTAAGGAACTACCCCAGGGTCACAACCAGTCACTGGAGAAGCTAGAATTCAGATTCTGAGAAGAATGCTAGCTTAAGGATTTGCACCAAGATAAACTGCTGTATGAAAGACAAGCAAGTAATTTTGGGTCTTTTTATCTGTTGCTTTGCAAGATTGCAAATATATGAGTGCTAAAAGTGAAAGAAGCAAATAATTACTTTTTTTTTTTTAAGTGGAAGAAGCTTTTTGGGGGGAATAAAAGAAAAACTAGTGTTCAGAATAATGAAAAAATTAAACTTTTTGGGAAAACCATCTTATTTTTGCCAGTATGCTGAAAATTGTCAAAGATGTTTTTAACCTCTTATAATAAAATGTCCAGTGCAAGATTCATGCTGATGTGATTATACTTGTATACTTGGTTAGTACCCTGGATTTTTTTCCCCTGCTGTTGAGAAGCTTCTTTTTTCTTCCTTCTTTTCTTCAATATAAATCAGATGTAAATGAGAAATGTAGCATATTGTCATTTAATTCAAAGATATCTACATGCCATATACTCCAAAGATGGTAAATTGGTTTCACATGTAAAAATGTCTTTTTCTGTAGTGTGTTAATTGTACCAAAGCAATTTATCTTGCCAAGACACTAAAATCCATTGTTTTGTTTCGCCTGTATGGTTATAGATCACCTAAATTACAGATCACCTAAAATTTGGTTGCTATCCCTCAATGAATGTCAATTTTGTCTTTGCTTATCTTAATTCCTGATGGCCTAGAAAAATATAGATTCATTGAAATGTTATATACACATACTTGAACTTTGTCACTTCTTTTTCTCAAACATTTTAATTTTAGTTTTATCTTAATGGCATTTTATTTCTGTGATAGAGAAAACATTGTTGACAGGCCTTTAACTGGGCGAGCTATAGAATTTATGTGGCCTCAGTCTCCTTGTAAGTAAAAGGAGGTATGAGCTCTTAATTCTTTCTTTCTATAAGATTCTATGATTCATTATTATATTTCAAGTTAATGCTCGACATTTAATAGGTTAAAGGCAAATAAAGAGTTGTTTATCAGGGCTAAAGGAGTTGTTTTGGAAGGAATCTTAATTTGTACACGTTATCACACATTAAGTTATCAGATGTGACAAATCTAGTGGCTTCTGATGTTCTTTTGTTTCTTAGCCAAAAGACATCAAATGTAATCCATCTGCAGGCTTAAGTGAATTTTGTGAGATTTGACTGTAGAATAATAAGGGTACCAGCAGTCACAGGCTCTCAGTTGGCAGACAGTAAATGATTCTTTAAGTTGACCTAGGCATGGTTTAATTGATTCTCTTGATGAGTTATAAACCATTTCTAAATGAAAGTCCGAAATAAAGATTCAAAACTAAGCCCAGGAAGTCTATGAATACACATAGACTTACATGCATGTGCTTATGGTGGGCTTTATTTTTAATAGCTAAAAACTGGAAACAACCATATGTCCATCAGTTCATGAATGAATCAACAAAATGTGGTATAGTCATGCAGTGGAACACTCAGAAATAAAACAGAACAAACTAGTGGTATATGCCACAACATGGAGGAATCTCAAAAAGCATTATGCTAAATGAAAAACATCAGAGAGAAAAGGCTACATACTGTATGGTTTTGTTTATAGGAAATTTCAGAAAAAGCAAAGCTATGTGGACAGAAAGCAGATCAGTTGTTGCTAGGGTCTGGAGGTGAGAAGAAGGCATTGACCAGAAAGGGGCCCTAGGGTAGTGTTTGGGGTGATGAGAATGTTCTACATCATTATTTCAATGGTGCTTATGTGAATGTGTTTGTCAAAACTCATCAAATTGTACACTTAAAATTGTTGACTCTTATTTAGTGTAAATTATACCTCACATTTAAAAACAAACAAATAAACCTAGGGCAGCATCTTGAATGCCTTACAAAGTGACTACTTCAATTGGGGAAATGATCATTTTTAAACTTCGAACTTTGAAAGTCTGTTTTTAATAACATACTGACAATATTCATTACTCTTTACAAAATTTTGACCTCTAAAATGTGTTTGCATAGAGAACGATAAATGGTCAGCTTGTTTTAACATCTCACTGCATTTTTGCTTTCTCTTTACCTCTCTGCCCAACCTAGAAAAACTAATTGAGGGACTCAAATCTCCTGACACTTCTCTTCTGCTCCCTGACCTCTTGCCTATGACAGATCCTTTTGGTAGCACTTCCGATGCTGTAATTGGTAAAGTCATCATCTCTTTCTTCAGTCATGCATGATATGTGTGTCTTTTTCAAGAACCGTAACTAACTGGTTAGCAGATCCCTAGTGAATAGCCCTGGTGAAGAGTGGAAATGCCACAAAGCCTCCTGGTTTTGGAACGATGCCTTGTGCCAACCCAGAAGCCAAGGCTGTTTAATCTCACTTATCACCCCAAATGAAGTGTTTTCTCTCCCTTCTAGGAGCACAACGCTGTTACTTTTGCTTTTCTTGATACCCTGAGATTTCTGAGGTGAATTTCTTAGGAATGAGGAGGAATGTGGGAAAAGTCACATTTTGTTACAAAAGCTTCATGAAAACAGTTGTTTTCGAGCTAGACTTTACCTTTAGCAGATTCTTCTTTAGAAGGCCTCTGTATGTGCCAAGAATCAGTAACAGAAAACACTTGCCCAGTGGTGAGGCCCATGAGTAGACTCCAGGGCAGGGGCTTGGTCTGCCCGCTCTGACATTTTCCTGTGCTCCAACTGCAAGGCAGGCAAGACCTGCAAAATGTCCAGGGCCCCTGTACTCCAGGGGCACAAAGTCCTAGAACTCAGAAAGACCATGATCCTACAGAGAGATGGGCCTCCAACTGGGGGATGTCACACAGTGTGGTATACCTCCCAGCTACATCATGGGGTGGGATTTGAGATGCATTAGTGGCCTTTGCAAGGCACAGAGGATGTTTGCCCCCAAGTCTATCCCTTAAGAAAAGCAAAATTACCAGAAGATATTAAGGTGCCTTTCAGCCTATGCCTTCTGACATGGAAGAAATCTGCTGGGTGGCTTGCATTCTTCATTTATCGATAAAAACTGAGAATCACCGGGACTAGCCACAGTGGTTAACCTTACGCATGCATGCTCAATCAGTGAAGTCCAGACACTCAGAGCAGCAGAAATAAAGTAACTCGTTGTGCTATCCATCTTGCCTGAGACTGGCATTTTAGAGTCCTGTAGAAGAAAGTCTTCACAGAATTGTCTCAAGAACCTTCTGACTCTCTTTCCCTTACCCTTTATTCTCCTTTCTTAATGCTCTGTTACAAAAGAAAAAGCTGATGTTGCTGTTGAGAGTCTCATACCAGGACTGGAGCCCCCGGTGCCCCAGCGCCTCCCATCTCAGACGGAATCTGTGACCTCGAACCGCACAGGTCAGTCAGGTGTCTCTGCAGCTGCAGGGACTGGTCAGCGTGGTGAGCCCCCAGAGCCGGTCTTCCCACCTGCGACAGATGATTCTGGGCTTATTTTGCAGCTTGGTTAGTTCCTCCTAGAATGGGTGCTCCATGTTGTTCCAGCCCCAGCTTCTAGGTGTTGCTGAAGAGCAGAGTACTTTTTGGCACCATGTCCTTTATAGAGTGGTCCCTGGCTTTCTCTGGTTATAGTATTTATTTAAGATTCTTTTCACTGGTGGCAAGTTCCCTCCACCTCCTTAATTAAAGAACTCTACTGAGCTGTAAGGAAGCCTTTACCTCCTCCCCATTTCTGAGCAGCCTTTTCTATCGGACAGTGTCAGTGATATCCATGGAGCTCATGTTCTGTATGTTGACGTTACATTTCCAGCATAGTGCTTTAATCATATATAGGTGATTTGCTGTTAAAGTGTAGGCACAGTTGAAATCTTCCCTGGATCCTGCTATTTGCTTTCACCCTAATTTCAAAGTTCACTCTTAGTAGAATTCCTTAACTGCCCATAAATACAGATTTGATAACCTTTGTTGTTATTGAAACCAGAATTACCTCGATAAAAGTGTCTGATTTCCTAACTTGGAACAGAAACAATTAGAAGTCTAGGAAGTATGAAAATAAACTCATTTGGGTGAAAAAAAATTAACACAGACGACAATATACTTCCTTTTCCTTGTGCTTATTTGACTGTTTTCTCTTAGAAAACTTTCCCAGAAAACAATTTGTGTGTTAAAATGCTTGAACTCTGAATTTTGTCTTCCTTCTGTTCTTTAACTGAAAGCCAAATCATATGTTCAGAGGAGCAATTCAAATTTAAAGTGACTAATAAGAGACAAGATCATTCTGTTTCGCATAGGAATCTGGTTAAGTTCTAGAGAGTACTGTTTAATTGTGTCATATTCTGCATTAATAAACTAGAGACAACTCTCTCCGAGTCAGCTTGGATACCTCATCCTATAGTAACTTTTTCCATGAATATTTAGGGAAAGTTTAAATGAAACTCTTTAGTTGCCAAGTCCTTTTTCCCAAATGGCATTTGCTGAGAACTGAGTTGCTAAAATTTTGTTGGGATCCATATCACATACTTGCTTAACCAGCAACCTCTGAGCAAAAAATTCTTCCATATTTATATATTAATGTTAAGAGGAATCTAGGAATACATGTTTCTATGGATAAAAATCCAGAGGGCTTAATATGTTTCTTTTGGTTTTCTTTCTTACACCTTGGCTCGTATGTATAACATGTAAATGCAATGACTTAACGGCTAAGATCTAATCTCATGATATTATGTGTGCCATTTAATGCCATCACTGACCTGGAATGCTGTTAATCTGGACTCAGATTCTCTCACTGGGGAAGATTCCTTGATTGATTGCTCTCTGCTTTCTAACCCTACTACTGACCTTCTGGAAGAGTTTGCCCCCATAGCCATCTCTGCTCCAGCCCATAAAGGTAAATGCTTTCCTCGTCGCAGGCCCCACATCATCCTTAGAGGAGAACTGAACGATTCTCGAGAATTTTCTTTACCAAAAGTCTTTGCTAATGAAGTTTTTTAACCCCCTCCTTTATGTGGAAAACTTGAGTTTGTACTCTTAGCCACCGTGTTATAATCCCTCTCAGTAAGAATATTTAATAAGGCTTAGACCACAGATTGGTGGAGGTATTGCTTTCTGACAGTCAGCTGGAGGGCAGATAGTTCACGTTGTCTATTAAAGGCAGAGCTGCATACTTTTGCAGTCAGCCCAAGTAGATTGTGGGGTTGACTATCCACTGACTGACTATAATTATTAATATGATACTTGTTGGCCTTAGAACTTAAAATTGTTTCGTTAAATCTGATTTAAAGTTTTTGGATAGTGATTACTACAATAAAGAAACAGGCATCATTCCTCGAAAGTCAGTTCTCAAGGATTGAACTCATAAAAGTTTGAATTTTAGTTAACCTTTGAGTCATGATTGATTACTGGATTTCTCTTTTGAACCTGCCATTTTCATGTCTTCGTCTTGGGTTAATACTGATTTGAAATTCTGCTGGACAGAGCTTAGATTGAGTTCTGTTTAGTGAGTGGTTTGCAAAAGTGATGGGCACAGTGCCTAGCGTACTGTACACAGGCCTTCATTAAACTTCCTTCTGTGCTTGAGTAGTGAAAGAGGCTTTCTGGAAGGAGCAGTACATAGAAAAGGAACAGCTTAATTCCTTTCTGAAGGACATTCAAGGAGGAGGCCTCCCTGAGATGACTAAACAATAGTTAGCCTGCGGTTTGTAGTGATAATAGCCGAGGTTTTGTGTTTACCTTTGAAAGCATTAAAATGATTATGTTTTTATAGAGCATGTAGAGAGAAGTTACCTATTTAACCAATTATATCTGGCAGGAGTGTGTCAGCAGTAATGTGTAATTACAGAGAAGCATCACTTGCAAAATAGTTGCTCAGCTAGCACTTGCTGGTGGGATAGCCTTAATTAGAATGGAAAAGAATATTCTCACAGACTTCTGCTTGAAATCTCAGTGCGTGTGATCTTGTGCCCCAAAATTTCCTGAGGCCTCAGAGTTGTTTGAAAGTCTCTTTTTTCCCCAATCACAGTGCAGTGAGTCCTCTCAGAAGTATTTTGTTTGCCTCGTATATAGCACTTGCTTCTTAAAGAGCAACTAACTACCTACCCCTGCCCCTGGTTTTGAGTTTTTCAGGTATTATTAGTCAGGCCTCTGTTTGCTCAATAAAGAAGATAAATGACTAATTTTTGTGCCTTTGTGAATTACTGATGTTGAAGAGATGCCTCATAATAACTACAATTAATGGTCTTATAATGGTAGAGAGAATCCATCCTATACCCCTTCTCCCTAATCATTTATGAAAGTCTTAACATGGCCAGCTCTAAAGCATTTTTTTCTATTTCCCTAAGTTTTCTAGTTTTGCTACTTTTATTTCAACTCAGGAAAATAAGCATTTTCACCTTTAAATACAACAGTGATTGTACAGTTGGGAACTTTGTGCCCCTTACATGTTCTCTCCTTTGCTAATCTCTACCTCTGTTGTTTCTGCTTGTGTACTTGCATTCTGTATTAAGCTGCAGAAGATAGTAATCTCATCTCAGGTTTTGATGTCCCTGAGGGCTCGGACAAGGTGGCAGAAGACGAGTTTGACCCTATTCCTGTATTGATAACCAAAAACCCACAAGGTAAGAAAGAGAGGATGGGCAAAAGAGAAGAGCTTGACATCAGCTCTCTACAAAATAAGTAATGTACCTAATCTACAAGGGGGAAAAAAGCATCAACATTTAATGAAGGAAATTGGGGGTAATGAGAATCATTGTGGGCTGGGCCAGTATAGATAGATAGAGATACTGATATATGTATCTTAAAGCTTGACCGTGGTGTTTATTTAGAGAGAAGAAAACTATTTAACAGTTTGACCAAAAGCTGATTTTTACAAATTATCAAGCCAAAAATAAAGTGATCTTCAGTCAGTGGAACCCTGAAGGCATATTATCAAAAAAAGGCACTGAGCATTTTTTATCATGATTAGAACAATCTGTAATAAATATTCTTCCCAAAGAGATTAACCATCATGCTTTGATATCATTTGCATCTATTGGACATTTGTGGAGCATCCTTTTTCCTCTTTGATGGATTAAAATCATTTGAACGGGCCATAAGACACTGAATTACCATGGGACCATCTATATGTTTTTTAAAGCATGTTTTTATTGCAGTGGTCATAATAACTAATTTCTCCCCCAAACAAAAATGATTGATTTTTACTTTATCAGGGAGACAACTCAGTGTTATTAGAAAGTTAGTGCACAGCAGCAGTTCTCAGGCAAAATATATATTCATTTGAAAATAGCATCCTCTTTGCAAGGTGTCCTGCCTTAGTATGGTGTGCACACAGTGCTTGAACTTTTGGTGGGAGGTGGCGGATACCTAATTTATATGTTTAAAAATCAACATGTAAGAATTGGCGAATGTAAATTGTTGCATCTCTAGGGTGTTGTTTTGTTTTTTTCTCCTTTGCTTGCTCTGCACATCTAAACCTTAACCCTCTGTTTTGTACTGAATTCCTATCTCTCCACTTCCAGGTGGGCACTCTAGAAACAGCAGTGGGAGCTCTGAGTCCAGTCTTCCCAACCTAGCCAGGTCTTTACTGCTGGTGGATCAGCTCATAGACCTGTAGCCGTGACCCAGTAGCAGATGCAGTTCTGTAACCTTCATACCGTAATATACATTTTCATTACGGAGTTATAAGAAAAATGATTTTTTAAAAAAATCGGCAAATAAGGGGCCCTCTAGCCCTTCTCTCCTACCCCTTGCCTTCTCCTGTAGAAAAGATAAGGAAAGAAAATCACTTTGGCCCTCCAGATAGTCCTTGGCCAGTTCCTCCCTGTTAGTTTGCTGTGTTTTCTCATTACCCTTCTTCAGTAGCATTATCTTAAATCAAGCGCTAGATGCCATGAGCTTCACCTCTGCTTGAATCAACTCCACCAAAAGCTTAACTGTAACTGAAACTAGTGAATTGACACCTTTGTCTCATTCTTGCTAGGAATGGCTTCCCAAATCAATCCTCCCAACCCCTGTCTCCTTTGGCCAAATGCTGATGAATGTGTTTCTCTGTTTTTGCTTTTTATCCTGCTGCATTATCATGAGGACATGGCTTCTTCAATTGGTCTTAACTCTAGGCGGTAGCCTGGAGATGAGTGTGTGGTTTAAGAGAGAGTAAAACTGACTGAATGTTTGAAAAGAGAATTTGAGCCCAGCTCTAGCCAACCAACTTTGACCTTGTTTGATCATAGACTTAGCCAAGGGATTTTACACCCCATGCAGCCTGCCAAGCATTCGTCCAGCATTCTGGCTTCCATTGAACCGTGATTTCTCAGATCTGGAGACGTGACTGCAAGTACTTGAGATCCTTGGATGTGATGTGTACATTATATAAATCCCAAATATTGCCATTCCTTTTCATGTTAACTGTCCCATGCCGGGATCTCAGAATTAGACCAAAACAAGACAATGGTGGTAATATGAAACCTTTTATTAGAAGACTTTTCATTGGGGGGTGGCTGGGGGAGGGGAAGGAATTGTAGCAGAAACAGATGTATTTTTCTTGTGATTTTTATTTTGAATCAAATATTGTAAATTGTGTATAAATGAAGACACTGAATAGTTCTGTTTCCACTTGGCGTTTCCAGTCCGATATCAGGTGTCTGTACAGGGTTTTGATCTCTTTCCCTTGTATAACTACACAGCAATCCTACAGTGTAACATATGGAATCATTTTAAGTAGACTTGTATGTTGCTATAAGCTTTCAGCTGGTCGTCTGTCTTTGTAAAATAAGCATGTTGTTTATTTTCAGATAATCAGAAATAAGTGTGCTGACAAGCTAGGCACAATTTGACCCTGGCTACTTACCTTTCTCTCTGATGTTTGAATTGAAGGATGCAGCCAATGAAATATGTCCAGCTGGTTTTCCTTGGCTTCCTAGATTAAAAAACAAAACAAAGCATAGTTCCTCACTAACCTTAGAATAATTGTTCGTAAAATAAATAAAAGACCCTGCACTGACATGACAGTATGCCTCATGGTCACCCTCTGTATATGTCCTTACTCATGGAAGTGTTTTTCTTTCCCTTACATGGAAAGCAGTCTTATAAAATCACCCTTTTGAAAAGAGATGGGCACAGAGAACCCCATTGTGGTTCTCTTCCTCGAATGCCATTTTCCACGATCAGAAGGGAAACTCTTAGTTGATCAGACTTGTACAAATAAAATTCCAAGTCCATTTGCTTGTTTCTCTATCTAGTACTTTTGTTTCTTCTTCCTCACGTTTGCACTTTAAGGGGAAAAAAACAAAGTTGAACGGCAACAACAGCCTGCAAAACACTGCACTTTGGAGGTCCAGCTTTGACCCCAGCGATATGAGAGCAGCCTTTGAAAGGCATCAGAGGAAAAGTCTGAATCTTTCAGTCTTCCTTCTGACTTGAAATATTTCCCATGCCAGCTGAAACTAAGGAGCTAAGGAAAGGCCTCTATTAGGATAATGGATTAATTTCCAAAATTGAGGGAGGCACAACTTTCCTGCTGAGGATAAAAGGATAAAAAAAGATATCCTTGAAGAGCTCTCCATCATTGGATAGCAGTGAAAATGAGACTTGATTTGCCCCTTTATGGACAGAAATATTATTGAAGATCAAAATTCTATTCTTTTTCCTGGACACAGAAAGAATGTATAAACTACTGAAGGAAATGTTTATTTTTAAATAAGAATAATGCTTTATGCCTATGTTTTCCAATTTGATTTTTTTCATACATACATATTAGAAATATAATGAAATATCTAGTTTCTCAATTTAATTGAAACCATGAAGAGTACAGTTTAGAAATTAGGTGTCTCTAAATTGTTCCTTTCATGTATTACCCATAATCACATTGAGATATATTACCTAATGATCTGGCTCAATAAAGCTTAATGAAGGCTGTTAATGAAAATGAACAGACTAGAAGCCAGAGACTGGATGGAGGAAGGCTGAGGGAGATAATTACATGAAATTACCTTAGGCTTATTCTTTAGGAGTAGGGCCTCAAAGGGGAGAATTACTTTTCTGTTAAGGAATACATATGAGTGACTCAGTAAATGGGGCCTCCGTTAGTTTATAGCATCATTCCTGAGCTAAAAGGATTTGTTTGAGATGAGTGTAGTGTGCTGATAATTGATAGACTTATGAAACTAGACTGAGCCTCAAGAGGGACATTAGAGATCATCCTCTAGTCCATCCACTTCATTTCACAGGTGTGGGAACCTGAGGCAGGGTGGTGGGAGAAGAAGCCTGGGTGGACAGGCCACTTGGGGTCTCATCCTGACCTTTGCCAGTCACTCGCCAAGTGGCCTTCAGCAGGTGCTTCACGTCTCAGAGCTGCTGTTCCTTATTTATATAATGATGGGTTTGGACTAGATGGTCTTTAAGATTATAGAATTCTAGGATCCTACATATATATTATTATGCTTTGGAAGGACTGTGAAGGATTTATATAATCCTGATGTTCTTCAGTTATCTTCTGTAGTTCTTACTATAACTGTAGCAGTATTTACATTTTAGAGAATTATAGTGGGCATTTACTAAACTGGGTTGCTCTTTCTTGGTTATCTGAATAGAAGCCTAAGTCATCACAGAGTTTTGGACATAGATTTTCCTTTTTTTAATATTACACACACACACACACACACCCCTACCTATTCCAGTGAAACAGTATCAGAAGATTTCAGTTCTTTTAAAATGTATAATCAGTGATCTGCCACTTAAAAATGGGCAAATATTGTGAGCATATGTTTCTGATTTGCTTTTATTCCGGCTGTGCAAGAGTAGCAACTATACCAGAAAACATCACACATTGTTTTTTTTTCCTTTTATAGCATTCAAATAACTAGATCACCAAATTCAAGTCCCAGTATTTTTAAAAACACAGGCCTCAGAGGAGATAAGGTTTAAATGGCCACTTCTAAATGTGATTCTAATTAATGATTTCTTTAGCAGACATATCAGAATTTTGACATCTAATTGAGTGTTGTTTCCTTCAAAAGCATCTGGTTTTACTTGGGAAGCTAATACTTGTTCTAATGATGCTGCCATCATTTAAGTTATTTTTGAAACTCCTCTCCTTCGAAATACCATCAAGGAAGGTAATAAGATATAAGAAAATCAGTTATATTATTATCTAATTAGTATTGCTTTCAGCATCTGAAAAGTGTGTTCTCTTTCTTGATCTTTTTCCACCACTCTTGGTTGTAAGTAACATTTAGCTGTTTCTAAAAAGCAAAATCACCCACCTAAGATGAAGAGGGGTTAGTATTGAAGACGGTAAAAAGAATAACTCACAGAAAATTCCCAGAGAGGACCTTATAATGGAAAGTGACAACAATCAGTTTTAATTTCCTTAATATTCTGAATAAGGGAATTTCTGTAATTTTGCCTGTCTTTAGTATGGTTTAGAAAATTGAAAGATATGGGTTTTAAAATACCTCTGAAAGAAGTTGTCACTTTGTTCAGTGTCATTTGATATTAGACTTGGCTCTTCCTGAATTAGAATTATATAACTTGGATTGCTAATAATTATAGGGGAACAAACCCAAGAAAAGAATCTGTTTTTGTCAAGATGAAATATTAGTTTTGTTTATAATACTTTTTT